TTCTTCAAGGCTCTTTATTCCATGGTAGCCTTTATTACATAGGACAGAGAGATTTGACTATTTGCTACTATGTATGTGTTGATCGTTGATTTGCTCGAGCAGGCCCAGTAACGTCTCCATTGGAGACTTTGTTGTTACTGTGTCTGGCATATCGAATACTCTCGGTAGCTTGCCAGGCATCGCTACCGAGAGTATTTGATATGCCAGACACAGTAACAACAAAGTCTCCAGTGGAGACGTTACTGGGCCCACTCGAGCAAATGTACGTGTATTGATAGGAAAATTCTAGGACTAGGGATATTGTCATAGAATGGGTCTCTGGTCTTGAATCCACTGTGAGACAATAGAACTGCTTTCCTCTCTAATCTTGATGTGAGTTGGACACTCTTACTGGTGGACCACAATTTAGATCTCCAGCAACTAGTGTCTTTTCAGAGGTGTGATATCCAGTAATTGTTGGAATGATTATACCTTTCCTGTTCCAGTAATCAGTCTTTCTTCAGAGCCTTCCCTGATGAATGGCTACAGTTTCCTCTAGAAAAATTGTAGAAAGATGAATGGTATGTACTGTGGCCATGAGAAGTGTCACAGAAACCTTCTGTTTGTCTCTCCTTGGTTTAACATCCTTTGAATGTACTTCCTTGTATGTTCCCCAGACTCCTGCTGACTTAAATAGTCACAATTCTGCTGAAATTTTAATATCACTGCCACTGTCATCCTGTTGTTCATCAATTTCCTCGAGCAGGCACCAGTAACGTCTCCATTCGTCCTAACCCTGAAATTTTAACAAGTGCCACATTGGAGGCTCCTACAGGGTCAGGGGAATGAGACCCATTATTGTTACTGGGTTTTGGCATATTGAATACGCCATGGGGAGCTTGCCACACTCTGCTGTGCGGGCAGGATACACTCGGTAGCCAGTCGGGTTTTCCAGGAGTGAGAACTAGACAATAAGTGAGACTTCGAGAGCTGGGTTTTATAGTCCCTGGGTCTTGGCTGTTGATGGGATAACATGGCGCCGGGGACAGTTGGTGGGTGTAATGCCTGGCTACTGGAAGATGGGGGATCTGGGTGGAGGAGGCCCAGTCCCGATCTAAGCAGGCATGGAGATCTCAGCCCCAGGGACGCACATATGGGTTCCTCTCCTGCTTCCTTCATGCGTGAGGCTCGTCCGAACATGTGGAGAATGGTCTTAAGCATGGCTGTGGCTGGTTCCAGAGGTCTTCAGCTGCCGGAGCTCTGCTCGGGGCGGGGGTGGGGGGAAACAGGGACTCAACCCACCCCCTTCCTAGGGGCCCTGGTGAGGACAGCCGGGCTCCGGGAGCAGGAGACTCTGCGCTGTTCTTAGTATAAAGTTAGTCATTTATCAGACTAGGCTTTGGATTTTCTCCTGGGTACTTTTGGGATTGAACTTTCATGATGATAAAATGGGAATTTGGAAAAGAAGAAATGAAGAGAATTGTTATCCTTGAGAAACAATGGGAAGGATCTTAATGAGAGGATTGAGAGATTGGGTGTCCCCAGAGGGGTCTACATTACTGTTTTCAGTTCAGGTGAATTTGCAATTTATCATTCTTAGTCTCATTTATGTCTTTCCAGAATTTGTGATTCAGGATAATTCTGCCTTTCAGTGCCCTTTGATTAGCATTAGACTTTGTGGGGCTGCATGTTTAATCAGCTCTGTAACCCTTACCATAAAACGCCACTTGATTCGTAGTCCAGTCAGCTTAGCTAGTATTAGATAAGAACTCCTTTATAACTGCTGTGAGTTTCCCACCCTCTACTTTAGTTTATTGTTGTTTGTGTACATATTCCCACAGTTAACAAAAAGCCACCCTAGCCCATTTCATAGTCTTTGAAATCATTATCTCCCGGGGCTGGGGCTGGAGCAATAGTACTGGGAGTAGGGTGTTTGCCTTTAATGCAGGCTAACCTGGGTTCGATCCTAGCATCCCATATGGTCTCGTTAGAACCACCAAGAGTGATCCCTGAGTGCAGAGCCAGGAGTAACCCCTGAGCAATGCCAGGTGTGGCCCCAACATATAAACAAACAAAATAAAAAGCATCATTATCATCCTTGTCCATGTGAACTTCTAGCACCTTGCCTAGGTCTGCACTTTACCCTGTGACATCATCAGAGAAGATTTGAATGATCATGCCGGATTGTCAGTTTCCTTTTCCCTTCTTTCATAGTATGACTACAGGGCGCGTCAAACATGCAACCTATAGTAGATACACAGGGCAGATAGATTGCTCGATCGCTGGAAATCCGCCTCATGAGCAAAGGGGAGAAGGCAACTGGAATAGAGAAGGGATCACTAAGGCAAAGATGGCTGGAGGAATCGGTCGGGATGGCAGATGTGTGCAGAACATAGATAAAGGGCCAGACATGATAACCTCTCAGGGTCTGTATTGCAAACTGTAATCCCCAAAAGTAGAGAGAGATTGTGGGGAATCATGTCTGCCATGGAGGCAGGGGGAGGGTGGGAAAGGGGGCATATGCTGGGGATATTGGTGGTGGGGACTGTGCACTGGTGGAGGGATGGGTGTTTGATCATTGTGTGATTGTAGCCCAAACATGAAAGCTTGTAACTGTCTAGTGGTGATTCAATAAAATTTTTAAAAAATGCATCCTATTTTGGAGGTCTGTTGCCCTTAATTGCCCTTAAGATTTAGTACTGTATCAGTCAAAACATACTCAAAAGTAATTGAAAGGACTCAACAACTGGACTGTTTACTTAGCTGTTGGACCGGGTAAAAGAATGAAGGCATGATGGAGCACCGCATCTACTAACAGTGTATGAAAGCGATTACTGCATAGGCTTTCAGCTTTTTCTGTGGGAAAGGATCACTTAGTAGGAATTGTGGCCATATGTATAAACCTCTGCCTGATAGAAAGGGAAGAAGGGGGATAATTACTTTAACATGTCACTCCTCCTTCTGTTTGCATCTCCTACTTATGCCTCACATTGACTGAATCCGTCCAGCTGCCCAGAGCCAACACAGGAAATGAGGTGCCTCATTATGAGGTGCACAGAAATCAGCCTTCAGGATATGTGAAAGGTTGGGTAAAGAATGACAGTGGAGGGGCTGGAGCAATAACACAATGGGTAGGGCGTTTGCCTTACACGTGGCCGACCCGAGTTCGATTCCCAGCATCCTATATGGTCCCCCAAGCACTGCCAGGAGTGATTCCTGAGTGCAAAGTGAGGAGTAACCCCTGAGCATCGCCAGGTGTGACCCAAAAAGCAAAAAAAAAAAAAAAAAAAAAGAATGACATTGGATCTCAGGGCTGGAGTGATAGCACAGCGGGTAGGGCATTTGCCTTGCACGTGGCCCAACACGGGTTCGATTCCCAGCATCCCATATGGTCCCTCGAGCATGGCCAGGAGTAGTTCCTGAGTGCATGAACCAGGAGTAACCCCTGTGCATCGCTGGGTGTGACCCAAAAAGCAAAAATAAATTAATTAAAAAAGAATGACAATGGATCAAGAAGGGCAGATGGAAACTAGCACAATTACCAAACTGACATGACTCTAGTCAGGTACTTCCGAGACCTAGTAAGAACCAAGAAGGTTGTTTCATGAGGTTTATTGATTCCTAAGTGTTTTACCCTGAGCTTAGGTGAGGGCTTGTTATATTTTCTAACAACTAATTCATGATGTAAAATTGCTCCTGACTGTGTGTTCAGCAACAAAGCCAACAATGCAGGATTGTGAATCATCTCACAGGAAGTACTTTTATTGTCACTTAAAACTCACATGCTGAATGGGACCAGAGAGATATTACAGTGGGCAGGGAGCTTGCCTTGTACACATTGACTTGGGTTTTATCCATGGCATCACATATGGTTCCCCCAAGCACTGCCAGAAGTGATCCCTGAGGCAAAACCAGGAATAAGCCCTGAATACCACTGGGTGGGGTCCAAAATCAACAACAAAATATTCATGCACTGGAGGTCTGACTTAAGAGTAAAGCACCTGTCTCCCAGGAGTGAAGCCCTAGCTTTGGTCTGCATATTTAATGCTTGCTGATACATATTTGAAATAAGTACTCATAGATAATTTGTTTATAATGATTAGATCTATTAGTGTGACTTCCTGATCTTGAACATGCAAGAGAACTAGCAAAGTAACCCTTTAGAAGGTCAGTTTGGTGTGTTAGTGGAGCATATTGGCTTCTGTGTGCCATCTGGGTAGTGTCTTGAGATCTCTATCCATGATAAAATGGTAGTGTCGTCACAATTGCTTTGCTGTGTGTGAGGGTCTACTGTAATAGCTCTCTAATTTGGGGTTGAGCACATAAGAATTGTCTACAGTGGGTAAAATGCAACATACCACAATGATTAAGCGTCAGGACTCCAGGGCAAGAGCAGTGGTACAGTGGCTAGGGCAATTGTATTGCTAGTAGCTAACCCAGTTTAATTTTCAGCACCCCATACGGTCCCCCAAGCCTGCCAGGAGTGATCTCTTAGCACTACTGGATGTGGCCCAGAAACCAAAAAAGGGGGTGAGGGGGAAGAAGAGTCAGGACTCTGGAACCAGGCAGCCTGGGCTTAAATTCTGAATTTTCAGATTATTTAACCTGTGTTGTCCCAGTGTCCTCATTTATAAAATGGGGCTAATACCTGTTATATGGGATCCTAATCTGAAGCAAACTCTGCCTTTAGATATAGTAAATTTAAAAGCCATACTTTGAAAAAATTACCCTGGACCCATCACTTTAGAACCTTTGGGTAGAATTTTACTCAGTCTGCATAAGCTGCAAAATAAAAGCTACCAGAATTTTTTAGTATTACTGTAAATGTTTGAGGTATAGCATTTGATGGGGATATAACAGAAGCTAAATGTCTAGCCTGGACTTAGTAGACATATGAACAAAAATTAGCAATGCTAATTCAGAAAAAGCCTCAAATGAAACCTTGAACAAAGAATGATATAGTCTTTTGAAATTGTTTTGCTAATTTGTTTTTGTATGTATGCATTTTTGTTTTTGTTTAGGTTACATAATGGAATATGAAAATTACCTCAAGGAATTTTATATTTTGGGATAACTATTTGTCTTCTGACTCCTCCTTTGAACTCATCTTTTTGGTGTCCTCTGAGGCAAAAAAACCCAAAGAGATTATACCATGGATTACAAGGAAAGCTGCCCAAGTGTAAGCATTCCCAGCTCTGATGAACACAGAGAGAAAAAGAAGAGATTTACGGTAAGAATGGACCTTAAGGCCAAAGGCAAAAATTTGAATATAGGTAGTATTTCCACTTCTGCTTTTATTCTTCCTTTACCTAGAAAGTCCCCACACAGTACCACTCCCACCTGCAGATATCCAGATTGTTCTCATCTTTCAAATGATACATATATTGCCAATCTTCCCTGTGTACTGGAACAGTGCAGTTTCTTTGCAGTGTTGTGTGTTGCCTACATACCTGTTCCTGTGGAGAAACTTACTGAACTATGTGATAGACTTCTGACCAGAAAATTATGGGTCATTTATGCTCATATATCATATTGTTCATATGACACAGGACTCTGGGAGTCATTGAAGGATCCCGTGTTAAAGAATCACTGTCTCTGGAGGCTAGAGTGACAATACAGTAGGTAGGACACTTGTCTCGCACACAGCCTGTGTTTGATCCTTGGCACTCTATATGGTCCATCAAGCCTGCTAGGAGTGATCTCTGAGTGGAGAGGCAAGAGTAAGCACTGAGCACTGCTGGATGTGACCCCAAAACAAAACAAAATAAAACAAAAGCAAGAACCACTGTCTTGACATTTTTATAGTATTTTATGAGAGTAACCTTTCCCATGTCATTTAAGATATATTAAATCATATTTATCATATCTTTTTTTTCCATTTTATTTGGGGGGTGAGCTGGAGCAATAGCACGGCAGGTAGGGCGATTGCCTTGCAAGCGGCCAACATGGCTGACCTGACTTCGATTCCTCCACCCCTCTCCGAGAGCCCGGCAAGGTACTGAGAGACTCTCGCCTGCACGGCAAAGCCTGGCAAGCTCCCCGTGACGTGTTCGATATGCCAAACACAGTAACAATTGTCACAGTGGAGATGTTACTGGGCCCGCTAGAGCAAATCGCTGAACAATGGGAGGATAGTGACAGTGGGGGTGCACACCTAGTGGTGCATGGAGCTTACTCCTCATTTTGTGCTCAGGAATCACTCCTGATGGCCTTGGATGACCATATGGGATGCCAGGGATCAAAACTGAGCCAGCTGTGTGCAAGGCAAGCGCCTACTCACTGTATTATCTCTCCAGCCCTCTTTACCTCCACTTTAAAGCCAAAACCATTTCTTACTTAATTTAATTTTAATTTATCCTTTGCCTCTCACTAATCCAATTTACCTTGTAAGCCCCCACCCAGCAAGTTGTACAAAGAGATTAATTTGCCCCAATTCTCCTGGATACTTAATTTGAGTTAAAATTTAATTTTAACTTCTAAAATTTTACTTCTTTTAAGTAAAAATGCTTAGACTGTCTTAATTTTGTTCCCTTTCTCATATTTGAGCACACATTACTTTTCCAGCTTGGCAGCTTTGTTTATGGGAGTCAAGGTATTCCCTTTCATTGTTTCTTGAGTTAATGACTAACCACATGATAATCTGATGAAGTCCCTTAAGATGACAAGATTTTGTCATCCATTCAGAAATTTTCTATTCTGAGTACAGAGTAACTTGTCTGGCAGACAGGCAGCAGTTGACCTGATCCCACCCTGGGCTGGGTAAACTAACTTGTAAACTCCTCTTTTGGGGAGGTCAGACCACTGGTAACTCCCTGCTGACTCTACTTCCCCCTGACTTTTTCTGGCTTTTGAGCCCAGTGAAGCTCTCTCACATCTTTCCCTTATTCCTACTCCTGCTCCTGCCTCAGATCGTCCCCCAACCTTCACGGGGTGAGGCCCTGAAGACCCAGAGCACCATCAGGTATGGGCTGAGGAGCCCCCAGCACTGCTAGGGTATCCAGGTAATCCCTATGGCCTCAGGGCCCAAGCAGCATCACATCTTCAGGCTCTTGCATTGAATTGCCAGCCTGGTTGGCTGAGAATCAAATATGGGGCCTCACAGCTAGTGACTATATTATCCCCCCACCCCCCGAAAAAAGCCGGCATATGTTCATATGTTCCTCTGAGCCCCACCAAGAGTGATCGCTGAACAAAGCCAGGAGTAAGCCCTTGAGCACTGCCTGGTGTGGCCCAAAACAACAAAAGACTGAATACTAGGTTGCACTGTGTCTTTTTTTGTGTGTGTTACTCAGTTAGGAATGCTTATCAGGGGGAAGCATTGATGAGGATCTTTACCCTCTTCTGAACTCTTCCCCTTTTGAACAGCTCTAACATCTTCTTTTTTTCTAATGTAGGAGTACCGCGGTTTATTCAGCCATTGATTTAGCTGATTGAATTCGTCATGAGCTCCACATTACTTTTTTTTTTAAATTGAATCACCATGAGATACAGTTACAAAGCTTTCATGTTCGAGATTCAGCCGTACAATGATCCTTCCACCAGTGTACACTTGCTACCATCAGTGTCCCCAGTATATCTGCGCCCTCCCCCCCCCGCCCCCACCATCCCAGTCTTCACCCTGACTCCATGGCGGGCAATTTCCCCAATATTCACTCTACTTTTGGACATTATCTTTTGCTCAAGTTTTTCCATCACCATTCAGGCCTGCCTGGCAGGGGCAGATGCTAGATCACATATTGTCCCTTGTTCGTTTAGAATATCATGGATGCCGCAGCTAAGTGCTTCTGGAATTCTAGATTGTAAGTGGTTGGATTCCAGAGACATTTCTGTATGGCACTAATCCACTTTGGGCATCTCTGGACCAGGGCTGTTGGTGCACTAAGATAGTGCCTGGAGGCACAGTGTGGGTGTAACAGCCAGGCCGAGAGAGGTCAGGGAGCTAGGGAGGGACATCATGGTACCACTGCCACCATGCAGCATGGAGATTTAGTCCTGGAACCTGCATACGTGGGCCTTGCTTGTGACAGCTCTTGATCGCCGGGATTCCATAACTCTGATGTCTTATACCCAGTAACTTCCTCTAATGCCTTCTTGGTTTTAGACTAGTAGAGCCAAATTACCACCCTCTAGTTTGTATACCTGGATATTCTTTTTTCTCTCATCATTTATTCCACCATTGACTATTAGTTGACTATTGCCAACTTCCTTGCTTCACCTTCCATTTGAAAACTTGTGCCGCTTTCCTAGAGGGATATGGCTTTACGTTCTGGGACCGCTCTTCACTAGGCCTGTTAATGTGACCATACTGTCAAATGACCTAAAGAATCCATACCAATTAATAACAAACCATGTCAGGGAGAATAGCATCAGTTGAATCTGTAATACTTTATTCCTGGGGAAGATCCTGAATCTGAAACCAGAATGGTAAACAGTAAATTACAAAAGATCTAAATAATAGCACACAAGTGCTTATTATGCTTATTTTTTGAAAAAGAATAGAAATATTTGATAGCATTAAAAATATATAAATACAACCTTGTGTAAAGATAAATATTTTAATTGATATACTGTGTATTTAGAGGATCAATGTAGAAATTAATGTCTAATGTCAGTCTTATAAGTATAAAACAACATTTACATTACAGTCGGATATTTTGCAATACAATTTTATTATGTTGTTTTATTTCCGCAGGTTTATAAGGTCTTGGTCTCTGTGGGCAGGAGTGAGTGGTTTGTCTTCAGGAGATATGCAGAGTTTGACAAGCTTTACAATACTGTAAGTTATAGATTTTTGTTCAGAACACTTGAGAAAATTGTAAAATAATAGTAGTTAATTTGAAATATTAAATAAAAGGTTAAGAGGTTCTTTAAAGCATTCTAAATTTTGACAAAAAAGGGAGCAAGAGTTCTTTTGAACAGTTTCTAATAAACTAATGAAGATGCAGCTAGTCATACAGCTTGAAGTACATATTAACATCAGAATATTATAAGTTCTTTCTAATCTAATGCTTTTTAAACATGCTATTGTTTTAATACAATTTTTTAAAATCATAGTTTAGATGACATAGTTACAAGAGAATTGTATTTGAAAACTGACTGGCCACATGCAAAAGAATAAAATTGAACCATTGTTTTACATCAGTTAACCCAGAGTGGATTAGAGAATTAGGTGTTAGACACAAATCTGTGAAATGCATTGAAGGAAAAAAAAATAAAGAAAGAAAAGAAAACAAAAGTGAAAACTCTGTTATACTGACTTCAGTGGTATCCTCAGTGATACAGTTTCAAAGGAAAGGGGGGGGGGGACAAAAAGCAAGCAAATGGGATTGCATCAAACTAAGAGAGCTTCCTTAGTATGAAAGCACGGTGAAGAAACCACCACAAAAGCAATTTGGACATTCGACTGGGTAGGGCAAAATATTTTGTACACCATACATCTGACACATGGTTGAGAAATCTAAGATAAAGCACTCACAAAACTCATCTGTAAACAACCTCTAAACTGGAGATATAGTACAGTGGTTAATGTTCTTGACTAATAACAGTGGCTCATATTCTGACCTCACATAAAGTCCCCCATGCATCACCAGGCATAGCCCCTGACTGAGCACCACTGGGTGAGGACCCATAAAAACAACAAACCCCCAAAATAGCCTCATCAAAAATTGCTTAAAAAACCATAATGCCCCAAAGTAGAGAGAGTAAGAAGGAAAGTATCTGCCATAGAGGCAGGGGGTGGGGTGGGGGTTGCAGGAGGCATACCGGGGACATTGGTGTGGAAAATATACACGGTTGGGAGATGGGTATTCAATCGTTGTATGACTGAAACTCAATCATGACAGCTCGGTAATTGTATCTCATGGTGATTTAATAAATAAAAATTTATAAAGTAAATTTTAAAAAAATTTTTTAAATTGCATAAATTAAAAAAGTAAAACATGACCTCATTGGTAGAAATGGAGTGGGTCTTGCTAAGCAAAATAAGACAGGAGAAGGACAAATACCAGATGAGCTCACTCATATGAGTTATATAAAGAAACAAAGTATTGAAATAGATGATGTCCAATGAAAACAAACAAAATTGAAGTTACTGAGGATCTGGGAGAGGGCTGAAAGGGCCCAGCACACTGTGGTTGAGGCAGATGGGCACTGTGGTGGTGGGGGTGAAATGGTTACATAGTACCTCTAAGGCATATAAATATTTAAATTCTTGTAAGCTAATGTTAGCTCACTTAAAAAAGAATTATCTCAAGTTTAAATTCCTTCTGCTTTAATAGTAATTTCATGTCTTCTGGAAAGTTTTCTCCGTAGAAAGGTAATTTTTGTTATTTTATTAACCTTGTCTTGTTATAAAAAAAAATAGGGTTAGAGGATATCAAAGTCTGTGGATTTTTGTTTATTAGATATTTTAAATATAGGAAAAAGTAATTTATTATTTATTATTATTCAGGGGATAAATTACTTCCTAAGCTAATATTTAATATGTTTGCATGTGTTCCTTTATTTAGTGAATATGCAAGTCAACCTACATATGTATGCTTTTAATATTGCTTAAGCAGTGTGTCAGACACTCTTCTGACTGTGAAATCATCCTTCCTCTTAAATAGAATAATATTAAGATGAATTTGTGCATAAGATTATCTTCTCTAAAGTTTCAGCGTTTTGTTATTTCGGTGCTGGGATCACATATGGCATTGATGTTAGTGATGCAAATCAAACGTAGGACCTCACACATGAAAAACAGCATATTCTGTACCACCATTTAAAAGAAATGATTTATGTTGAAGAATGGATGAGAGTTGATTTATCAGTTTGACAATTATGTACATGATTAGCATTTTTATGAGGATTGTACCAACCTAACTGTACTTACCAGGATAACTGGGTGATACTCAGGTAATCCATGGACATATACACAGATGAGTTTTAAGTTTTGGTTTGTTCAACAGCGTGGCAGAAGGAGCCCACGCCCAGCAATGGTTGGGAGCTGTGCCCAGCTAAGTTCTTAGGGCTGTACCACATGGTGCTTTTAGGAAACCATGCAGTGCCAGGGATCAAACAACGACCTCTTGCATGCAAACCATGCATTCAACCCTTTGAGCTAGCTCTCTGGCCTACCATGCAGGTGGTTCATATGTTTAGTTAAAATCAATTTATTCAGTGTGCTACACTACTGCAAACAAAATTTAAGATTTGTATATTTTAGAAGGATTTATGGGCCAGATTTCTCTTTTTAAATGTGTGGTTCATTTTATAGAACTCTTCATTAGTGGAAGGAGAAAGGGGGAGGTCATCTACAACACTTAGCAGTATGTGATGTGCTGAGTGAAAGGCTTAGCTTTTCTTAGCGAAGTTACTTCAGTTCTAAGGATGGTTTCATGATTTAAACAGCTGGTAACTACTTCAGTGGAACTTTGGAAAAGTTTACCTTGACCACTTCCCCCACCTTGAACAATCAAATGCCTCATCTCAAGCTTTTTGGAGAAAACTTATAAATAGGTAGGGTTGAGTTTTCTCATCCATCTTACTCATATACCCTGTGTTTTTCTTTCTTTTTTACATTTTTTTCTGATTTCACCGTTTCCTGTATTCTACCTCTCTCATTTATATAATTCCTTCCAATTCTGCCTTTTGTGGTAAGGGTGGGGGGCGGGGCAGGGGAAAGGGAAATGGTTTCATTTGTGTTCTTTGAAACTTCAGAAGTGAGATTAAAGCCAATTTGGGATTCGTCCATTTGAAAACAGGTTCTTTCCCTATGCTTTCAGAGTAGAGGAAAAGATAAAACGTGAAGTTTCCAATCTGTAAGGAGTATAAATATATTTTACGACTTCGGGTTGCATATGAAAAACATTTTATTATAGTATTTTTGAGTGCATATAGAAAGGAGAGACTAACACAAATATGGAAAATGAAATAATCTATCCAGAATCAACTATTCCATTGGATGGCCTTTCTTTTGTTTTTGTATTTTGGTTTTGGCCATACCCAAAAAATGCTCAGGGCTTACTCCTGGCCCTGTGTTTAGGGCTCACTCTTGGAGGGCTTAGGGAACCATATGGGGTGTTGGGGATTGAACTTGGGCTGGGCATGTGCAAGGCAAATACCCTACCTACTGTACTATCACTCTAGCCCCACCCTTTCTTGTTTTACGTCTGCTCTTATTTAGCTCCCTGTAATTTTGAAGCTGAGTTAAGATATCATAACATTTTATCTGTAAAATTTTACTGTACATATCAAAGGAGATGAAGATACTTAACATACAAAAATATCATTATTATATTAAAATAATGACAGTATCAAATATTAAATCAGTGGTTATGTGAATGATTGTTAAGTCTAGCAAGTATCTTTTTTTTAATGTAGAAGTACTGCTATTTATTCAGCATTGATTAAGCTTATTGAATTGGGCATGAATTCCACATTACTTTTTTTAAATTCAGAATGTTAATTTTATTATTGTTTTATTATTATTTTTTAATCACCATGAAATAGTTACAAAGCTTTCCTGTTTGAGTTTCAGTCATACAATGATCGATCACCCAACCCTCCACCAGTACACATCTTCCACAACCAATAACTCCAGTATCCCCCTCATCCGGCTTCTTCCCCCTGCCTCTATGGCAGACAATCTCCCCCATACTCTGTTTTGTATTATTTATTATGAATAGCATAAGATGTCAGACAGCTGCGAGAGCGACCGTGTGCTCCTGGAATTCTAAAATTTTTAATAATTAGGGTCTGGAGAAATCTCTGTAGCAAGATGCTTGGTTCGGGGATTCTTTTCTGTGTCTCTAAATTGTGGCTGCCAAGGAGCTTAAGTAGCAGCCAGAGGCAGTTTGTGGGTGTGACCTCCAGGGTCCCATGGGAACGGGGGATGAGAAGGACCAGCCCATCCCCTATCCCTTGAGGCCTGGAGTTTGCAGTCACTGACCACAGTACCAGCACTTCTTGTTGAGTTCTGGAAGTTAGCAGCTGCCAGGGGGTCTTAGGGGGCAAGTGGAGGGATGACACCTGCCCCTGTCTGAGGCACCCTGGTGAAGTCGGCCTGGCTTAAAGTCCAGAGACATCTCTGCAGCAAGCTTCTCTGTTCGGAGATTCTTCCGTGTGTCTCTGGATCATGACTCTAGTTTCCATCTTTTCCAGAGAAATAACTATTGGCATATTCCCTGCAGGGAGTGCTCATTTGCCCACAGCGTGACGCGCTGCTGGCCCTAACTGCAATTCTTGATCTCTTTCAAGATTTATGGGTCTCTAAAATAAGGTCAATAAATGAGCTTGTATAGCTGAGCTGGAGGCGGTTTGTGGGTGTAGCTCCCACATACCTAACTTTTGGCCATTTAATTTCTTGGTAAACTTGGGCCCAAGTCGTTGGGTTCCGCCAAAGGCACAGTGGCAATTTTGGGGTATCAGGAAGTCTGAAGGCACCATCAGGCTGCTGATGCACTCGCCCCGCAAGTACAGGTTGATCTGCTGGCAGCACCATACTCCCTACCAAGTCTCTTTTAAAAGCTAAGTTTCTGCCTCCACCTCTTTTTTTTTTCCATATATTTTTTTGGTCAAAAACAATCATTTGTCCACAGATTGTTCAGTCTGCAATTTGCTGACCACATGGGGTAGAGTGATTAATACATTTCTTCTAGTCTTTATATTTCCTGTCAGTTGGAAGATATATTATTTGTATGTGGTGTTTTTGATTTCAGACTTGTAATAAAAATATTAGCATGTTTTTATGACTTTATTATCCCAAATTTAGTTTTTTTAGTTTTTTCTCTAGAATACACAAATCTGATGAGCATTATTAAATTATTAATGGGGGAGGCTAAAGCAGAATATACAGAAAATAAAATTTCTCAGTTTTCTTAGAAAACTATTATCAATATGTCTGTATAAAAGCAACACAAAATTTCTTTTCCTAAGGTAATGTAAGTGACTTATATTTAAAACCTATATTCCAGGTTCTGGGCCAGAGAGCCAAAGCGGGTTAAGATGCTTAGCTTACAAGCAGCTGGCCTAGTTCAATCCACAGGACTCTGGGGTGACCCTTTATAACCACTGGTGTGGTCCCAAGCCACACTTCCCTTTTCCCCTCTTCCCCCTCCCCACCGAAAAAAAAATAAAGCCCTGATGTTCCAGGTACTAGTTGAAGGAGTAGATATAAGCTGTTTCCTTTACACTTTACAGCAAATCTAGAGGACAAGTTCTGAAATTATCTCCCTTTGGGCCAGAGAAATAGCTCAAAGAGATGCAGCACATGCTGTGCATGTGGAAGAACTGGGTTCTATCCCTGGCACCACATGGTCCCCTGAGCACTGCTGGAGTGAGCCCTGAGCACACAGAGCCAAGAGTAATCCCTGAGTATCTCCCAAACAAACAAGAGAATAAAAGAAATTGTTTTGACCTTTTTTTGGGGGGTCACACCTAGCGATGCTCAGGGGTTACTCCTGGCTCTACACTCAGGAATTATTCCTGGTCGTGCTTAGGGGACCATATGGGATGCCAGGGATCAAATCCACATCTGCCATGTGCAAGGCAAATACCCTACCGGCTATACCATCACTCCAGCCCCCCAAATTATTCCCATTTTATAAGTAAGAAAATAGCAGCCACAGAGATGAATGTCATTTATCCAGGGGCACAGAGATAATGAAACAAAAAAGGCTGATTTATTAGTGTATGGCATTTTATTGGAGTCATTTAATATTGTACCTTTGGTCATGTCATGTTTGCAATCATGTCTTAAGGATTTTCGTAGGTATCTGATTGTATTTTGTTTGATGTACATATGGCTAGAAGATTTGTAAAATTAAGTTTTTATTATTTTTTTAAAATTCTAGTTGAAGAAACAGTTTCCTGCTATGGCCCTTAAGATTCCAGCCAAGAGGATATTTGGTGATAATTTTGATCCAGGTAAGCAATAACTTCATAGACTATAGGATGGTTGGAATTTGAAGTAGTGGTTAACAAACTTACTGCACTGTGTAATCATGCAGTCTTAATTTGTTTTGTTGTTTAGCTAATGTGCTTAAAGTGGTGTTGACATGTATAGTTTTGATGTATAAAGTTACTACATCTTCACCACCAGCTGGTGCCCCAAGGTTTTTTGTCATTGTCTATATGTCTTTTCTAGACCACTCCCTTCCCCACTGCTCAGTAATCTAAGTTTTGTGATCTATTGCCAGGGGTTTGATACTGTATATTCTCTTGTTTTTTCTCTTTACACTACGGATGAGTCAGATCATCTGATATTTGTTCTTCTCCTGTGACTGACTTCACTTAATGTGAAGCCCATTATTCCCGTGTAAGTTGCAGTGAACTGCATGAATTTATCTGTTCTCAAAACTGCATAGTATCCTGTTGTGTGTATATGTATCATAGCTTCTATGTTCATTGATCTGCCGCTGGACATTTGGGTAGTATCCAGTACCTGGCTATTTTTACTAAGTACCGCAATGAACATAAATGTGCATCCACCTTTTCAAATTAATTTTGTTGGGGGGGCGGTCAGTAAATGGCAAGAAGTGGGAATTGTTGAGTTGTACAAGGCTTGGTTCTTAGTTATTGTTGTTTGGTTTTATTTTGAGAAGCCTCCGTGTGTGTGTGTGTGTGTGTGTGTGTGTGTGTGTGTGTGTGTGTGTATTAGTGTAGGCTTTATAAAGCTAATTAATTATAAAGCTCATCAATCCCTATGAAAATAATGTCTCAGGAAGGTACTTGCTATATGCCCAAAGAACTCTACATTTAATTCATTTAGTTCTCACAAATAATCCTCTCACCTCTCCCTCCCTCCTTCCCTCCCCCCCCTTTCTCTCTCTCTCTCTCTCTCTCTCTCTCTCTCTCTCCTCTCTTTCAGCTCCCTAATGAACCACTGATTTAAACTCTTAATACTGCCTATGTTTTACAAATTTAAATTTTCATTTTTAGTTGAAAGGTCTTTCTGTAATTTATACACAGATACAGCTTAACTCTTCACATTCTAAGTAGTTTAATGTTAAACTCTTTGGTGGGATTCCAAGGTTAAAATCTACTAAACTACTTTTTTTGGGCGAGAGAGATAGTACAGTGGGTGGAGTATTTTACTTTGCACGCAGCTGACCTGGTTTAATCCTCAGCACCCCAATCCCACAGGAGTGATACCTGAGTCAGGAGAATGTCCTGAGCACTGCCAGGTGTGGCCCCCACCAAAAAAAAAAAAAAAAAGAAAAGAAAAAGAAAAAACCCACAAGGTTAATGATCTTATTAATAAGTAACAAAATTACAAAATAACAAACAATTGAAGTTAAATGAGTTATGGAGCATGTGAAATCTAGAGACTGACTGCCATAAAGTGTCATTATTTGTTCACTCTTATTCACAAATTTCAATTAAACACCTCCCCAGACACATTATTACGGGAATAAAGGTAAAATAGTTTAAAGGGATGATTTTTGCCTTTAGTAGCTTATACAGAACACTTGTTTCTTAACTTTAACCTTGATAACCGAAGAGAAGTAAGTTTGTATAAATCAGAGAGATGACTGGAGTTCTGGTCACAATGGCAGAGCAACAGCAAGAGCCAAAGCTGGCGGAGGGACGGCAACTCTCAGTGCTCTCAGCAGCCGATGGGTCCGTGAAATTTCTGCATGAGTGAATCTGGGCGCCCCTTGGATATTCTGTCTCCGGAGAGCACCGTGAAATGAAACATCCACCACAGAGTGTGACCTAGAGACGGCGCTGCTGCAGCTCTCACCCTCTTGGCACTGGGCGGTTGCAGAGTCTTGACGTGACTGAATAGGGCTCTTTGGGTCCAGCTTGGCACCACTGAGGAGCACGGGCCCCAAAGTTGGAGGGCACCCTGGGTTCCCACCATGGGGCCCAGGGTGAGTTTCTGGTGGGGCAGCTCCACCACCATTTCAACTTGGACCAGCCCATACTACTCATGGAGTGTTATGGAGGAGGACCAGCTGTCCAGAGACCAAGGGTGCGGACGTGTGCCCCCGGGTCAGGCTCTGCTGTACTGGTGGCTGCAGCTCACCCAGAATGCCCAACCTGCAAACGGTAGCCCTGGTCCTGGTCCCTGCCCCTGGGGTCCAGGAGGTGTTGCACCACTTGTGGGGCAAGCCATCAGGCTGCCCTGAGACTTCCTGACACCCCAAAGTCACCACTATGCCTCTGACCTGAATCCAACAATTCAGGACCAAATTTTCCAAGAAAGTAAACTGCCAAAATGGTGCATCTTTTATCAAAACAATGAATCTAGTCAAAGTAGATAGAGTATTAACTAGAATTCATCTGCCTCACAGGCATTGGGACTGGTGGGGGGTGGGGGTTTATTGGGGTTCTTCGTGGTGAAAAATAAGTATTGGTAAAGGCAAATGTGTTTGATATTTGCATGACCGAGACCTAAACCTGAAAGCTTTGTAACTTTTGCCACAGTGATTCAATAAATAAATAAATTATTTTAAAAAAAAAGTAAGGTGTGTAGGAGCCACACCCATTAACCACCTCCAGTTCAGCCATTCATGCCCTTTCATCCGCCTTCTTTCAGAGGCTCAGAAATCTCGAAAGAGACCAAAAGCCGCAATTGATCTCAGATGCACACAAGGCTGAACAACCCAGGGCACATGGAAGGGGGGGGCAGGTTAGCCCAATGCCCACCCAAACAGAGCCCCTGGCAGCCACTACCCCCACAATCCAGAATTGCCGTTATGCCCTTGACAGACCTCACCAAGATTAATCTGCTGAAAATTTGGGTATGCAGGTTTTGTGACTGGAATCTCTGAATTTTCTGTCATCAGGATGGTCTATCTCCCCCCTGCCTCCCTGTACTTCCAGATGCCCAGGCAGTCACATCCATCCCCCAAAGCCACCATCCAATTAAGGAAACAAAAGCTACTCCATCTGTACTTCCTGATAAAAAGACTGAACGCCCTGAACAAACACAATGACCTCTTAGTACCTGTATTGCAAACCATAATGCACAAAAGAAGAGAGAGAAAAAGAAGAAAGGTGCCTGCCAAAGAGGCGAGGGATGGGGAGGGGGAGATTTATGGGGAAACTGGGGTGGTGGGAAATGTACACTGGTGAAGGGATAGGTGTTCAAACATTGTATGACTGAAATCCAGTCATGAATAGCTTTGTATTGGTCTATCTCATGGTGATTCAATTAAAACAAACAAAAAATAGACTACTAACTCCTGTTTAGTTTGGTGTTGAATTCTTCTGAAAGTACCACTCCTTAGCATATTTTTCTCTAGTCAGTCCCTTGGTCCAGCTGGAAACCTATTTTCGGCACTCAGCTTGTGATTTCTCCTTTAGTGTCTGGAGTGTGCATGGGGAGTGATTTGTTTAAATGTATCTTAACTAGAATCTGAACATCTTGAGGATATGCAACATGTCTTAATTCAGTATTTACTCATACTTCTAGTACATTGCACAGTATAAAGTATATTGTGGTTAGTGAACAAATTAATGCATACATGCCTCTATTAATTATTTTTCAATTATTTTTGTTTTAACAGAACCAGAATGACAGTTTCATACATGCCATATTGCCACAACATTCCCACATACATGCTTTTTTAAAACTTGGTCACTTCAATAACATTATTATTATTATTATTATTATTGAATCACCGTGAGGTAGTTACAAAGCTTTCATGTTTGCATTTCAGTCATACAGTGATCAAACACCCATCCCTTCACCAGTGTATATTTTCCACCACCAAAGTCCCCAGTATTCCCCCCATCCCCACCCTTCCCCTGCCTGTGTAGCTGACATTTTCCACAATACTCTCTCTACTTTGATTACATTCAATGTTTTGACACCAGTCCCACCATTATTATTAGGAATTTTCCCGCCACCACTCAAACCTGCCAAAAAGGCAATGCTAGGCAATTTATTTTGTATTGTTTGTTATGATGTCATGCAGCTGTGAGCGGCTGTGCGGTCCTGGAATTCTAAAATTTTAATAATTAGGGTCTGGAGAGATCTCTGCAATTAGCTGCTTGCTTCTTTTGTGTGTCCAATAACCTATTATTTTAACTTGATCACTTTGGCTACTTTAACTTGGTCACTTACTTTAATAACCTAATAGTGAAATCTTACATAGGACAACTTCTGTATGAAATTAAAGACTTTAAATCTCCTTATTGTATAATAAACTTTTTAATTTAATTTTTTAAAAAATTTTTTATTTTATGAATCACCATGAGATAGTTACAAAGCTTTCAGGTTTTAGTCATACAATGTTTCAACACCCATCCCTCCACCAGTGTAGATTTCCCACCACCAATATCTCCTGTATCCCTCCTGCCCCCCCCCCCAAGCCTGCCTCTATGGCAGACACTTTCTCTCTCTCTCTCTCTCCCCCCCCTTTCTTTCCCTCCCTCTCCCACCCTTCTTTCCCCTCTCCCTCTCTTCTAGTCTCCTCTTTCCCTGTTCTTCTCCCCTTTTTGGCATTATAGTTTGCAATACAGGTACTGAGAGGCCATCATGTTTGGTCCTTTATTCATTTTCAGCATTCATCTCTGGATACCCAGAGCCCTTCCAAGCATCATAGTTGTAGTGGTTCCTTCTCTATCCCAACTGCCTTCTCCCCCAGCCCTTGAGATAGGCTTTCAACCATGGAATATCAAACTTTTAACTAGTTACAGATCCTGAATTAGCATTAATTTTGTTAGTCTTTCACTATATTTATTTTTACTTTGTTATTGAATCACTGTGAGATAGACCCTTACAAAGCTGTTCATGATTAGATTTCAGTCATATAATATTCCAACACCCCATCCCTCCAGCAGTGTTCATTTCCCAGCACCAGTGTCCCCAGGTTCCCTCCCATCATCCCTCTGCCTGCCTCTCTGGCAGGTACTTTCCTACTCTCTCTCTCTTTCTCTCCTCTGTTTTATCTCTCCTTCTCTCCTCTCTCCTCTCTTTTCTCTTTTCTCTCTCCTGTCTCTTCTCTCTTTTCTCTCTCCTCTGTCTTCTCGTTTCTCTCTCTCTCTTTCTCTCTCTCTCTCTCTCTCTCTCTCTCTCTCTCTGCGCCTCTCTTTCTCCGTCCCAACCCCTTCTTCCTTCTCACCCTCCCTCCATCTCCCTGTCTTGCCCTTTTGGGCATTATAGTTTGCAGTATAGGTACTGAGAGGCCTTCATGTTTGGTCCTTTACCCACTTTCAGCACCCATATCTGGATATCCTGAATTAGCATTAATTTTGTTAGTCTTACACTATTTTTATTTATTTTTACTTTGTTATTGAATCACTGTGAGATAGACCCTTACAAAGCTGTTCATGATTAGATTTCAGTCATATAATATTCCAGTCATATAATATCCCTTCCAACCATCATTATCATAATGGTTCCTTCTCTATCCCAGCCGCCCTCTCCCTTGAGGTAGGCTTCCAACAATAGAATAACAAACTTTTAACTAGTTGAGGATCTTGAATTAGTTAGCATTAATTTTATTAGTCTTATACTGTTTTCAAAAATTGTTTGGCATAATCATACACTTACGGCTATAAAGGAGCTCTAACATACAGCAGTATTCGTCTGGTTTTTGATCTGTGTCTTAAACTATTCTAATGACAGTAGTAGTAAAGATAATCACTGTGCCGTTATTTGGTTTTTATGGTGGCTTCTTTCACTTTTATGTTATTCATGAGAAATGTACCTAGCCAAGCTAAGCCACTTTCCCAAGTCACACAGTTAATATGTGGCAGAATTAGATTCATCCAAGTTATTTGTCTTTGAAGTACATTCTCTTATCCCTTTACTGTCCATCACATGCATGGCACCTTCTGTGTGTATTTTAAATTTCTTTGGAACAGTACGAAATACCCTGTTTTCTAACCTGAGACATAGTTAAGACTAAAGGATCTCTATGTCAGAGAGGGAGTTCAATGGGCTGAGCACATGCCATGCATGCAGAAGGCCTGGATTTGACCCCTAGTGTCATACGAACCCCTACCACTGCCTGCAGTGACCTCTAAGCATTGTCAGAAGTTGCTCCTGGGTACTGCTGGGTGTGACTCAAGAAAAATAAATAAAAGTCTAAAGGATTGCTATTTTATTCAGATTCTAACTATCTTTTGATAATGAATATGATCAGAATATTTTCATCACCAGTAACAATATTAAGACTAGACCCCAATATCTCCCTAAGTTAGAGTTCGTTGATCATTCCCCCTTCCCCCCCTTTGAGTATCAGAGACTGTCTCCTTTGTTGTTGTTTTTGTTTTAGGCCAAACTCAGCAATATTCTCCTGGCTCTGGAATCAGGGATCACTCTTGGCAGGCTTTGAGAGGCCATATAGGGTGCAGGGATCGAATGTGTGTTGGCCGTTTGCAAGCAAGTACCCTACCAGTAGTATCACTCTGGCCCTACAGACTCCCTTCTTTTGCGTGATTTGTTTTCTGAAAGCAGTGAGATGACAGAGAAATTGGTACATGTTCATTTATTTTGGAGATTAAAGCTTTCGTTCTCCAATTAGCATTATCTTCTTTAGATGGCCAATAGAAATTTCTTTGGGGGGTTTCTCAACTGTACTGGAGCCATAGGACCACACACACTGGTTCTCAGGGGAATTTGGGATGTCCGGGCCCGAATTCAGAGCCTGAGTGTGAAAGCATGTGCTCCAGCCCCTTGAGTTATCTTCCTAGTTCCAGTTGAAATTAATTTTGGTTTATAAAATATGTTCACATTAAGTTCTTTACTGTAGATTAAAATAATGTATCTCCAGCAATAATTTTTATAATAATTTTATTAAAGAATATAATTCTAAAATTAAATTCAATCTTTAAAGATTTATAAAGTATTGATACTTGAGTTTTATGCATATAATATTTTAGCATCAGTTATCACCACCAGTGTCAATTTTCCTCCATCATCCAGCAGAATTATTAAAAATGTCATCCTTACTAAGTACTTGGAACTCATTTTCTAATGGAAGATATGGATTTTAGTTTATCTGGATTTTCTTTTAGATATTTGCATGTTTAATGTTGATCTAAAGATTAAATTCAAAATTGCCTCTAAATTTTGACTGCTACTGGATTTCTTGTCTTATCACTGACCTCTTTTTCTTCTTATATATATTGGATTTGTCACAGGGTATCAAAACTGATAAAATTAGTAATGAAATGGAAACTAGTAGTACTTAGAAGAAAACTGTTTTCTTCTACAAATGATTTCTCAGTGTAAAATGTACCTTCAGGGAGTATTCGCAGAATAATTTAAAGGTGCTTCCATGTAATCAGATTTCTTTAAATGTACCAGATGTAGGTATTTTTATTTTAGTTCTCTCTACTATATAACTTACTAAGTACAACTTTTGAAGAATAATTATTTTGTTGCTGTTGCTGGGGGGTGGGCTGTACCCGGCAGTGCTCAGGGCTTATTTCTGGCTCTGTGCTTACGAATTACTCTGGCAGGGCTCAGGGATATGGAGTGCTGGGGATTAAGCCTGGGTCTGTTTCATGTAAGGCAAATGCCCTACTGCTGTACTATTGTTCCAGCCCCTTGAAGAATAATTTTTTTCGGTACTTTTTTTCTCTTTGATGAGCATCCATGCTTGGGGCGGGAGTGCATTCTGGATGATATTTAGCCTGGTGGTATGGGTCTGATTGTCAGACCCATATTTATTTTGGAGATTGAAGCTTTCGTTCTCAGACCCAGCAAAGCAGTGCCAGGGTCCACCAGGCAGTTTTGTAGACCTAGCTGTGCTTGGCAGCAGGGGTTGGGAAAGCCACTATTGATCAAAATCAAGAGTCTTACACATTCAAGGACAGCACCGCACCCCCTTCAGTTGTCTCCCTGATCCTTTCAAGTATTTTATTTTGTCATTTTGTTTTGCTTTGGTTTTGGAGGCCACACCCAGCAGTATTCAGGACTTATTCCTGGTGGGACTCAGTGGTTCATATGTGGTGCTGGAGGTTTAATTTTGGGCCAGCCCATGCAAGGCAAGTACCTGCTATACTGTCTCCTGCCACATGTAATTTTTAATGTAAACTTCATCAAGTGCCAGAAAATTTTATGAGATTTCTGAAATTTTTCAAGAAAGGCATTGTTGAGGGCTCGAGAGATGGTTTAAAGAGAATGCCCAAAAACAAAAAGGGAAAAAAATATTGAATAACAATAAAACAACAATAAAGTTACCAGTATTGAGCAATAATAAAATTACCCAGTGCTCCTGGATCTGAGGGACCAGATCTAATTTGTATTTGTTTCTTTATAGACAGACTTTTCATTTAAGAATAGGCTATAAAAACTACACAGCTGGAAGTAGCCCATAACTTTGGTGACAAACACATACATGAAAACTTTTACTGGGTAGAATCATTTTACTTAACCAAAACTTAATAAATTGAGTAATGTTCATAGGTTATTTTTGAGACATTTTTCTCAAGTCTCCTGTCTCTTTGATTTAGAAACTGTTTCTTAAGAACTAGGACCGAGGGGCCAGAGAGATAGCTCAGTGACGGACTGAGTGCGGGTGGGAGGCCAGGGTTCCAGCCCCAGCCATGCAGGGTCCCTTAAGCAGTGCCAGGAATGACCCTCGACCACCAAGCTGGGAGAAGTTCCTGAACACCACCAGATGTATCCCAGAAAACAAACTATTATAGATGATAGATAAGGCACTTACCTTGCATGCAGCAGAACCTGGTTCAACCTCCAGCACCACAGATGTTCCCCCAAGAACTGACAGGAATAAGGCCTGAGCACAGCTGGGTGTGACCTGAATGCTAAAACTAAAACAAAAAATACACATGCACAGAAGAATTAGGGTCTAGGATGAGGACTTTTTGACAGCACAACAATGAATAGTAAAAATCTGGACGTTATGTATATTCTGTCAGGTATTCTGTCAACCTACATGTTTTATCTTATTTTATCCGATAATATCATAATGAGGTATTGTCATAATTCCATTTCACAAATAAGAATGTGCAAGTCTTGGAAATGTTCAAAGTTATGAAGTAAGTTACAGAGACAAATTATGTGAATAATTTTCTAATTCTAAGAAACCTATCTGTTTAACCTTTATCATTATCTGCTATTGCATGAGCCTCAATTATCAACAAAGTACTTTGTGAACACACTAGACAGTTCTTTTTTAGAATCCTCCAATGTATTTTTACTCTAATGTGAATATATTTACATTAAATTCAGTTCATTTAATGTAAATCAATGTAGACTCACTCAAATGTGAATCTGTATTAATTTTATTATGGGGCCACACCCAGTGGTAATGCAGACAGTTAACTGTTCTGGCCTGGCAGAGCTCAAGGACTACCAGGTCTACATCTGGTGGTGCTGGAGGGGCCATACAGTGCCCAGGATTAAGATCAGAACTTTCACATATGCCAGGCATGTGCTTTATCAGTTGAGCTATCCAGGTTATCCTAGCCTGGTTTTAATTTTTAATTCCTATATTTATAGATTAAAATATATACTTTTTTTTAAGCGTTCCTTATTGTATATCAAGAAATATGATAGCTCTTTGGTCAACATCTACTATTTTATCTATTTTTATAAAACTGTTCTCATGATAGTTGCATAGTCTGACAAATAATTCTGATAGTTTATGTCTCTTTTAACAGATTTTATTAAACAAAGAAGAGCAGGACTGAATGAATTCATTCAGAACTTAGTTAGGCATCCAGAGCTTTACAACCAGTAAGTAATTTTTATTGTGTTCTAAAGAGTTTCTGAAGCCAAACCAATCTATAATGCATAGGTTGTTAATATAAATATTATGTTCTTAATTTTCTTTTTTATTCATCAGTGTAAGGCCTTAGTTATTTCTTTTTTATCATTCTGTTGATTAAAGTTTAAAGAAATTTTGCTAGTACAAGTTAAACAAGTTTTCTGGTTATAATTATAAAGACACCTTTATTCATATTTCAATATGCATTATTAAATACCTGCTGTATGCATTGGACATATAAAAAGAAATGAGTTTCATTCCTACTTTCCAGAGAAAGAAGATAAGAATGTTTTATGATAAAGATGGTAGGAGAGAGAAAATGTGGCCTGTTCTCCTTGGGGAAGTCAAGGAAGACTTTCTAATAATGAAGCATAAGCATTGTTGAAGTAGGGAGCTTTTGTCATGCAAAGGGAACCTACACTGAAACATGAAACCTTAAGGGTCACTATTTTCTGGTAGCTGGGACTTAGAGTTAAGGCTTTCGAAAGGAGATGGGGCACAAGGAGTTTGTGAGGGTGTTTTCCACAAGTGGCACCACTTCCTGTACACACACACACACACACACACACACACACACACACAGAGCATAGCAGCCGCCTCTCATGGAGGCACTCTGTGTGTCTTGTGGAGTTTAAACTTTCTTCCCTCTTTTGCTGGGATACGGATTTTCTGTCCACTTCAGTTGCTTGTGGCCACTCCCTGTGCAGTTCTGGGAAGGGTGGGGAGTGTCTTGCTCCCAGCCATGGTGGGTGGGGGGGTGGGGGGCAGGGGGACACGGGACTAGAACATGCTGGGAATCAAATCCAGGCTCTCTGCACTCTACCTCGGAACCTGTCTCCTTGGTCCTTATTTTTTATACTGGGCATTTTATTTATTGTGATTTATAACTACTATGTTATTTAATATTTTATGTCTGTAAAGTTCCTGTCCTCTAAGAGGAAAGAAGTAAAATAAAATGTCTGGGGCATTTTTCCTCACTTTACCTCTCTATGTGATATAAAGGTTGCCTTGTAGGGAGTGATGCAGAAATGGCACACTTTAATAACAACCTTGACAGAATCACAGAACTCCAAGACTATTTTTAGAATCTGTTGGAAAAACAAGACTTGCCATTATATAGTTCCTTACAGAGTACATTTACCATGCTAAGCTGGTTCTCTGGCCTCTGACCCGTCATAAGTTTGTGTGTGCTTGTGCATGTTTTTGCACACATTGTCGTGGGGGTATTCAGTGTCTCAGGGACATTAATGCAGTGCAAAGGCTCAAACCTAGTTCCTTAAATCTGCATGACATATACCTTATCTCTTGAGCCACATTCCTGGCTCCCCTTAAACTTTTTTTGTGTTTTTTTGTTTGTTTTTTTTTTTGATGTGGTGTTTTTGTTTTTGTTTTTTAATGAATCACCGTGAGGTATAGTTACAGACTTAAAAACTGTCATGCTTACGTTTCAGTCATACAATGATCGAGTACCCATCCCTTCACCAGTTCTCATTCTCCACCACCAATAATCCCAGTATCCCTCCCACCCCACGCATCTGTGGCAGGCACATTCCCTTTTACTCTCTCTCTCCTTTAGGGTGTTGTGGTTTGCAATGCAGGTATTAAGTGGCCATCATGTTTGGTCTGTAGTCTACTTTCAGCACACTTCTCCCATTCCAAGGGGGCCCTCCAGGCACCCTTTACTTGGTGGTCTCTTCTCTATATCTGAACTACCTTTTCCCCCAGCATGTGAGGCCGACTTCCAAGCCGTGGAGCAATCCTCCTGGTTCTTATCTGTACTATCCTTGGGTGTTAGTCTCCCATTCTGTTAACTTATATTCCACAAATGAGTGCGGTCCTTCTATGTCTGTTTCTGACTCATTTCACTCAGCATGATACTCTCCGTGTTGATCCACTTATATGCAAATTTCGTGATTTCATCTTTTCTAAACAGCTGCATAGTCTTCCATTGTGTAGATGTACCAAAGTTTCTTTAACCAATCATCTGTTCTCGGGCATTCAGGTATTTTCCAGATCCTGGCTATTGTAAACAGTGCTGCACTGATCATACAAGTGCAGCTGTCATTTCTACTATACTTGTTCGTTGTTTTGTGGTCACACCTGGCAGTGCTCAGACTTCACCCTGGCTCTGTACATAGGGATCACTCCAGGAGGGGCTTAGAGGACCATATGGGGAGCCGGGGACCAAACCCAGGTCAGCCATATACAAGGCAGTCTCTCTCCCCTCTAGGTTATATCTCAGGCTCATGTTTAGATCGCTTTCTGAATTTAATTTACTAAATGAGCAAAATGCTAATACTTCCTCTCACCATGATATGTTGCCCAGTGCTTGGAATTTCCCCAACATTCACCTTTAGCACAGGAGCACAGGCTGGCTGCCACCCATGTTAGCTCTGGGATTAGCTGCCTCTTCTGTCGGAGGGCCACACAGTTGGGGAGGATGCTTGGACTTAGGGCCCCTCTGGTCAGCACATTCCGCAGCAGAGAGCTTGTTGTGACTGTATGCTTCTTTGTATAATTATTTTTGAGACCATAAACCTTTTCCCCAAGACAAATTCTGTTATCTTCATCTTAGCTCTAGCCTTCTAACCTTAAATTTTTGCTTTATGTGCCTGAGGTTACTTCAAATTGGCATTTTACTGACTTGTTTCAAATATAATTCAAACAATGAGAGTTTGAACTTTTCTCCTCCTTTGACCAAACCTCTTATGGAATAAATATTGGCTAAACGGTGGTGATGGTAATTATTGCCCTTGGGATTTTGTTTTTGTATTTTTGTTGTTCGATTTTTTTGTTGTTGTTGTTTCCTTGAGTGGGGGCATACCCAGCAGTGCTTAGGGCTTACTCCTGGCTCTATGCACAGAGCTCATTCCTGGTGGTGCTCAGGAGACCATGTGGGATGTCCACCCAGGTCAACTGAGTACCTTAACCCTTGCATTATTTCTCCTGTCCCTTAAACGTAATGTTTTAGTTGGTATTTTCTTTTAATAAGAAGTGACACTTCCTTTGAAAAAAGGAAGCCCTTCCATTGAAGAATAAGGACAGCTGCAAAATGACCTCTGCCATATAGATATAAAGAAGTATAGTAAGTAAATGCCAGATGTACAAAGGCAACAGAAACTGAAAACTGGTCTTTAGTAGGAAGCTTAGCATGGGGTGGGGATAGACAGGAAACAGGAAGAGGGAACGCTCGGACATTGGTGGAGGAAGTGGACATGGGGGGGGGAGTATAGTACTGCTGGAATATTTTACACATGAAACCTTGTCATTAACAGTATTATAAATCAGGGTGCCTAAAATAAAGTAATTTTAAAATAAATTTATTTATTTTGGTTTTGGGGTTCACCTGATTGTGCTCAGGGCTTACTCCTGGTTCTGCAATTAATAATCACTCCCAACAGTACTCAGGGAACTATATGGGCTGCCAGAAATTGAACCTGGGTTGGACACATGCAAGGCAAAGGCCCTACCAGCTCTGCTATAGCTCTGGCCCCAAATAATTTTTTCTAAGTTATTTTTTTAATTACAAAGTTTCATAATCCTACTTTTAATCCTACATTTAAAAACTTGTGTGTGTGTGTGTGTGTGTGTGTGTGTGTGTGTTACTAACGTGCAAAAGATATGATCTGTTCTGGTTCTCATTTGTTATTAATGCAAGTTTATTCATTTTCACACTCTTTATTTGAAGTAAAACTATAAGATAGTATAGTTATAAGAGAACAAGAAGTGAGCCAAACAGCAGTCCCTCTCCTTCCAAGGAAGGGCTTTTTTTTCAAAGGAAGTATTACTTCTTATTAAAATACCAGTCAAAACACAAACTGTGTTGTGCCATTATTGTTGTGATTGGTGACCACACTTCAAAACCAACGTGACTTTTCAAAGATAGAAAAGCAGGAATAAATTATGTTGCTATTTCTCTGACCTATAGAAAGGATTTTCTACTCAAAGCTATTGATTAGAAGTAATACAGTGGGGTTGGAGCAATAGCACAGAGGGTAGGGTGTTTGCCTTGCACGCGAATGACCCGGATTTGATTCCCAGTATCCTATATGGTTCCCTGAGCACCACCAGGAGTAATTCCTTAGTGCATGAGCCAGGAATAACCTCTCTGCATCACTGGGTGTGACCCCAAAAAAAGGTAACAGTGACAAATCTGACTAATAAAAAGTTTAAGTTCCAGAATCACATGTAAACCAGAAAAAAGAGCTCTGATAGCACTGATGCAAATAATGCATAGTTAAGTTATTAATGATTTACAAAAGAGGGATGGTAAATGGCTGGTTAAAGTGTAAGAGAGAAATAATTGTCAAAAACTAAGAAGTGAAAATACACTTTTTTAAATTATTATTTTACATTTTAAAACTCAATAGCAGAAACACATAAAGGAGCACAAATCATGACTTCACAGTTTATGGGGTAGGAGAAAGTTACTCTGTCTGAGATGTCACCCAGGACAGGAATGGAATATTATCTGTACCTGTAAAACCCCCTCCTTTCCATCCCTCACCCTTTCTTCTCTTTTCCTCAGATATCATTCTCCTGGCTTTTAGCATAGATAAATGCAGCCCATTTTTTAAACTTTACATAAATGAAGGCATGCAATAAATACTCTATCTAGCTTATTTTCAGTAATTCGAGTCATCTGTGTTGTTGCATATAGCTAATTTGTTCATTTCCATTGCTGCTTGAGTTCTTGTGTGCTCATGTTTTTTTCCATGGGTTTATATATATAGCTCTGAAATTGCTAGGTCATATGGTAACTCTGTATTTAACTTTTGGAGGAACAGCCAAAATATTTTCCACAATGCACCATTTCATATTCCTACCACCTCCTCCTCTAATAAATGATTTTTTCCTCTTTTTGAATGTCTTAAAATGAATGTTTATTGTTTATACTTAATTATTAAAACAACTTGGGCAGTCCTTTTGCAAAAGTATAGTTGGGCCTGCAGAGTATAATCTAAATATAATAAGTCAGAAAGTTGGCTACAGTACAATCTCACTTATTGTGAAATCTTAAACACACACACACACACACAAATTCATAGATAGCAAGAATATTGGTATTTACTAGAGACAGGTTGGAGGCATATGAGATAAGTAAAATAAGTGAAGACAGAAGAACACACTAATAGTTATAAAATGGATTGTGAAATTTGTACAGTATGATGACTAATGGACTGGAGTGATAAGCACAGCTGGTAGGGTGTTTGCCTTACACGCAGCCGACCTGGCTGACCCAACCAACCCAGGTTCGATTCCTCCGCCCCTCCTGCAGAGCCCGACAAGCTACCGAGAGTATCTCGCCCACATGGCAAAGCCTGGCAAGCTACCCGTGACGTATTCAGTATGCCAAACACAGTAACAAGTGTCACAATGAAGACATTACTGGGCCCGTTTGAGCAAATCGATGAACAATGGGAGGATAGTGCAGTGCAGTGCTACTAAGAGAGTAAATCTTAGACACTGTCATTACAAAGAAAGTTGTGGCTATATCTTAATGCATGTTCACCTAATGTGGTGATCATTTTACACCATCAGGGATGTAGTTCACATTGCTTTTCTTATATGTGAAGCTCTTGGTTCACTTTCTGCATCACCAAAAAAAAGGGGGGGAGGAATAAGAGAAAAAAATCTTACATTTAGCAATATTTACAAATATTGTAGCATTATGTTGCACACTTTAAAACTAATACATATTTCATTTATATCAATTTTTTATGAGAGTTTGGGGAGGCATTACTTCAGGTATAGAGATTAGCCATTCCCCAGGACTAATTCATTACTTCATTTAAAGCCTCTCATAATTTAGTCCACCCCATTTACCTTTTTTGATTGTTGTCATTGTTGAAATATTCAGGGGTCACACTTGATTGTGGTGTGTAGGAGATTGCATACTTCTGGTACCTGTGATCAAAATGTTTGGACCATCATATCTCATCTGATAATGTGGTACCAGGGATCCAGCTGTGGCAAAGAAGACTCTACCATTGAGCTGTATCTCCGGGCCCCATTTCTCTCTTCCCTCTAATTTCAGAAATCAGAATTTATTATCTCTCATAGTAAATGACATACAGTACAAAATGGCCTTTTTAAAGAGATACTAACTGGATGAATTGAGAAACTTAGTTTCCTTCAAAAACATTGGACAAATTCCTGTGTAACGTTCTTATTGCCATTTCAGGAGTTGCCACAAAGTAGGGTTTATAAGAAACAAACTCTAGGCTGTAGCACTATTACTGTGGGTAGGGTGTTTGTCTTGCCCATGGTTGACCCAGTTTTTGTCCTCAGTATCACATATGGACCCCTGAGCAACACCAGGAATAATTTCTAAGCAGAGCCAGTAGTAACCCCTGAGCATTGCCAGGTGTACCCAAAAACCAAAAAGAAAAAAGAAAAAAAGAAACAAACAACTAATGTGCCTATGGTTAAAAGCCTGAAACGAATCAGTGGACTAAAATAAAGGTGTCAGCCAGGCCTGGATTCCTGCCGAAGGAACTTTATATCCCCCTTTTGTTGGGAGAAATGCCCATTTGTTTATTCCTATTGTTGGTACACATCTTATAATATATTTGTTACATCTTTGGATAGCCTTTTGGTCAGTTGAGTATTTTATGTGTTTAGGTATGTATGCACATATGTATGTCTAAATTTATAGGCATATATTACATATACATCTATGTATATGTATATATGTATCTCTTTTTGGCACCATACTCTGGCTTACTGTTTCTTACTGCTGCTAGTTTTTTTCTGAGCTAGTATAACTACTCTTCTTTCTAGTGGTAAATAACTGCTTTGCTTCTGATCCCTGTTACAAAGATTGTTACAATGAGTATCCTAGTTACCTGTTTCTCACTGAGTATGTACATAGTATTTTCTATGATTTATTCCTGAAAGTAGACTCCCTGGGCCCAGGGGAAATGCACAGTTCCACAGGCATTATCAGATTGCTTTTCAGAACAGTTGCCTCATTTTATCTTTGTCCTGGCATTGCATGAGATGTTCTCCTCTTTACATCATCTCAACTTCTGTTATCTGTCTATCTTATTTTTGTCAGCTTACTGTACATAAAGTAGTGTCATTGTCTCACTGTGTTTTCCTCATATTACTAAGGCTAGGCATCTTCATGAATTTCCTTGCCATTTGGGTTTTTCTCTCCTATGAACTGCCTCTTTATACTTTTGCCTGTCAGATTTCATAGTTTCAAAAATGAGTTTGTATATTACTTTCATAATCACAAATTAATAGTTTTGTTTTACTCTTCTTACTATAAATGCAGTATAGTTACTTTTATTGTAAAAGAAAAGCTGTAGAAATTCAGTAGCATAATAAAGTTCCTTTTTATTTTCAGTCCAGATGTCAGAGCATTCCTTCAAATGGATAGTCCAAAACATCAGTCAGATCCATCTGAAGATGAGGATGAAAGAAGCACTCAGAAGGTAGTAAGAGAATTGGTTTTTTGTTTGTTTGTGGGTCACACCAAGTGGTACTCAATGCTTCCTTATGACTTGGCATTCAGGGATCCCTTCTGATAGACTTGGGGTGCCAGGGATCAAACCTAGATCCCTGGCACCCCATGCGAGGCAGATGCCCCATCTGCTGTACTGTCGCTCTGGCCCTGGGCCCTGAATTGTATTTTTCTTTTATTGAAAGAAATCCTATTCCCGAAAGATGGAATTATTGGTAAGTCTAGTACATTTTACTTGAATTAAAATAATTTCCTCTATTGTAGATTTACTACTTTGTCCAATTTATGTAAACAATATGTATACCTCTTTCAATGACCTTTTTTTTCCCTCTTTGATTTTTATTGGGTCAAGTGATTTACAAAGTTCTTCACAAGAGAGTTGTTTTAGAGATACAATGTTCCAACACCAGTCCCTCCACCCATACTCTCCCCCCACACACACACACACCCTTTTCCTCCCTCCCCCAAGCACCAAGGGCTGGCTTTTGTCTTTTTGCAAGACTGGTTACAGGGCTATGAATTTCCTAACCTGGTAGGCTGTTGCCTGCTTGTAAACCCCTTGTATCCTTCAAATTTGAATGATAATCTAGATGAATAGTGTATTCTTGGTGAGCTGTTAATTTCTTAAGAGTTTTTTTGTTTGTTTGTTCATACTCTCATGGTTTGTAGAGTCTTTGATAGATCTGCTGTACATCTTATTTCCTTTGTAAGTTTCTTTTTTGATCTTGCTGCTTTCTATATTCTTGATTGAGAGAACAAACTACCTGTAAAAAACAGTTGCTCCTAGGACAATAAATATATTGATATACTATACATTTGGTCAAAAAGAAACAGTAAGCAAAGCATTTGTAACAAATGAGAAATAAGAAGGAATGTAGGTTATTTAAAAACTCCTACTGGGCTGGAGCAATAGAACAGAGGGTAGGGCCTTTGCCTTGCACAAGGCCAACCCAGGTTCGATTCCCAGCATCCCATATGGTTCCCTGAGTAATTCCTGAGTACAGAACCAGGAGTAACCCCTGTGCATTGCTGGGCGTGACCCAAAGAAAGCAAAAACAGCAACAATAACAACAACAAACTCTTACAAATGGATTTTATTGGGGCATGGGAGGAGAAAGAGAATGATATTTAAGATCCTAATACAAGGGCCAGAGTACTGGAGATAAGATGGTTGCTTTGTGTGAGGCCAACCCTGGTTTGATCCCTAGCACTTCATACGGGTTCCTAACACTACCGGGTGATCCCTGAGCAGAGAGCCAGGGGTAATCCTTGAGCACAACTGAGTGTGGACCCTAAAAATAATATTGGGAGAAAAAAAAGAAAGTTACTTAGAATTTTTTTTTAAACGAGTAAAATATATATAACCATGATTTCCCCCTTTTTTTGTTGTTGTTGTGAATCATGTTAAGAGTATGTGGGTGTAGATCATTTTAAGGCTCTTTTGCCTTGCTGAAGGAATCAACTGGTTTTGAAGAAAATAAGCTGAGAGGGATTCCTGAACTATGGTTCCTGTTCTGTCGCTGCTGGGTTTATATCTGAGCTTCATTTTTTTCATTCACTAAATCTGAAATGTTAAGTAGAATGCAGCTCACTGGTGGGATACTTAATTGCCTTGTATGTGTAAGCTCCTGGGTTCCGCCCCTGGCATTTCAAGGGGAATAAAGAAAAGCTTTTTATTTATTTATTTATTTATTTTTTAAAATAATTTATTTCTTTATTGAATCACTGTGGGAAAAGTTACAGAGCTTTCAGGTTTAGGTTTCAGTCATGTAAATATCAAACACATTTCCCTTTACCAATACTTATTTTTAACGCGAACCCCAATAGAACCCCACCTCCCACCCCTCCCAATTCCTGTGAGGCACATGAGTTCTAGTTAATACTCTATCTACTTTGACTAGATACATTGTTTCGATAGAAGATGCACAATTATTGTTTAGAGTTTACGACCCCCCCCCCCCAATCAGATATGCTGAAACAGCGTTGTGAAATGATTTGCTTTCTACAGCTGGATTTCAGAATAAAATGATGTCGCGCGGCTGCTATGGATTTCTGCTGTTTTACTTATTAACCCTGGAAGTATTTCTATTAAAAGTTAGATAGTTAAGAGATTGGTTTCTGTGCTCTGGAGTCGTGGCCGTGCCGGAGAGCCGCTCGTGGGGGGCAGCTGGTGACCTCGGTAGGGCGTGAAGGACGGCCCAGAACGCCCCCCTTCCCATGAGGCCCCTGCCGCCCCCCGCCCCCGGCTCAAACCTGCTGTCCACAAGGCTCCCGTGCGGCCGCCATCTTTCTTTCCAGAGAGGAGCGGGCAAAGAAAAGCTTTTTAGACTTCAGAACTTCTGCTCATTTTAAAAAAATAATTTGTATTGTCAGGTCAAGGAAAATAGCTCATGGCCTGAATACTTTGCATGCAGGAGACCTGTTTTTTTTGGGGGGCGGGGGGAGGAGCACCATACCCTGCAGTACTCAGCATTACTTCAGGAAAATTGCTCAGGAATTGCTCCTTGCAGCTGTGGGGACTGGAGACCACATCACGCCATGGGCCTTGGGTCTCCTGTCTGCCTCGCATGTGCACTGGCCCACTGAGCTGTCACTTTTATCCCCTGAAAATCACTATTTTTGTTTTGTGTTGGGGCCACACCAAGAGATGCTTAGGGCATACTCCTGCCTCTGCACTAAGCTCAGGGATCACTCCTAGTGGGATTTGGGGACCATCTAAGGTGCCAGCCATCAAATCCACTACATGCAAGGCAAGTACTCTCTCCAGCCTCTAATTCATTGTTATTAATCCGTTTTTTTGTGTGTGTGTGTCAAAATGATTCTTTATAAATTGTGATTTTCCCCAGTTTTTTCATTGCTGACTTTGAGACTTATTTCTTCCTTACCCTTTTCCTTATCTTGAAACTCATCATAAGAAATTATTGTGTTTCCTATTGATTGTGTACATTTTCAAATAAAATTGCGCATTTGTTAAGAGTTAGAACTGTGGGATTCGAGGAGGAGGCTCAGAAGGTTGGAGAGCGTGCTTTGCAAGCAGAAGCCCTGGGTTTTATTGCCAGTATCACCTCATCCTAAGCATTGCCCAGTGTGGGAAAAAAAAAAAAAGAATTAAGCCTTTGGGTTTCTTTAACATGGCAGTAGATCATATATCTCTGATGTAGTTAACGTTTATTTCAGAAACATTCGTTGACTGATAATCTTTGAAACTTCAATAAGAATATTTTTCCCCCTCACCCCAACAGTTACACTCTACCTCACAGAACATCAACTTGGGACCATCTGGAAATCCTCAGTAGGTTTAATATTTTCAAATTATCTTTCAGTTAAATTTATAAAATTGTGTGTGTTTGCATGTGCATGCGTGCGTGCATGTGTGTGAGTGTGTGTGTGTGTGTGTGTGTGTGTGTGTGTGTGTGTGTGAATGCACAGATATACATCATTAAACCACAGGAACTGAATGTCTGTGAAATATAGCCATAGTTACAGAGACTTTCGTACTGTCACATGCTTGCCTCACTTCTGCTCTAGCTTCTTCTTGCTTTAGTAAGCTCTGAGGAGCCTGCACCCCACAGACTGCTAGTTGGGTGCTGCACTTTAAGGGACCAGGAGTCTTGAGAGGAGCTTGGGAGGTACTCTGACCTCATCATGCTGCGGTGCCATTGATATTCTCCTGGTGCTCTCTGTCATTGGTTGCAGCTTTCCTTGTTGGCCGGCCTGTTCAGAGGCGTCATGGTGGGTATTAGCATATTAAAAGCTATTCTTTCTTTAGCCAGTTTCTCCCTAGTCCCTTATTTATTTTAACCTGGGTAGCTTTTTGAGTAACACCAGGAGTGGCAAATACTGACTTTATTTTGAATGGCAACTCCGGAAATTCATTAGATGTGAAACTCTTAAACACTGAATTCAAAATTTGAAAGGATTCTGACAGATTAGTAATGATATGTGCCATGGGTTAGATGAGTAAAGTGTTGTCTTTACTTGTTATTATTCTTATGGGTTTCTCAAGTTAATTCTGAAGTATTCTCTTTTATCCTAGGACATTTTGATCCCTTTACTCTTTTGGATTGCTTAGATATTGCAGACAGACAGATAAGAGAAATGGTTTGAGGACTGGATTCTGGGACACTTAAGGATCCTGGGGCACTGTTGGAAGGTCAGGTAGGAATCAGTCAAGGAAATGTAAGAAAAAATAGCTAGTAATAAGGAATAAGGTAGGAGGAAAACTAGGATATGCTATTTTGAAAATCTAGTGAAGAAACTATATTAAGAAGGGAGTAACTACCACTAATATTGCTGATGGGGCAAATAAGACAAAGACTGAGCATTAACCCCTGAATTTGATAGTCACTGATGATCTTTATGAGCAGCTTCAGTAAGGAAAGTGGGTAAAAGAAACCCTGATATTGTCCAGTAGAGAACTCCAGATGACAGCTAAATATTTAATGGAGGAATTTTGCAAGACAATTTTGCTTGAGAAATTTTGCTGCCAAGGGGAAAAAAATTGAATATAACTGGAAGAGGGACTTTGGTTTTAAACATCCTTTTCTGTCCTCTAGCTTTAAAGTGGTCAGACACAACGCAAAACACAAAACTGGAAATTATGTTTAATTAGAATCCATCACTAACAACAGTGAAACCTTGAAAAGCTTCAGTTAGTCTGCATTATTCTGTTTGAGGAATTTGTGTGCCATTTGTTTAAAAGTACATATTTCTGGATCTCAGAATATCATTAAAAATCCAAAGAGCAGGTTCTTCAGGAAGAAAAACATCAAAGTTTAGTTAAGTATTTATCTCCCTAGTCTTCATCTGTCAATATTTAACCTAGGTGTTGCTCTCGTGTTTGAATTGATGGTATCTTTCTATAACGGAAGGAAATTTAAACATTTATGAGGCCTTCCTCTGTCCAGCACAATTTAGGTTTTCAGACTTCTGACTGAAACAGCTCTTCAGAACGCTTAAAACTCTACTATCTGCTGCTATATTTTTCCCTACATATAACCAATACGATTTTTACATAACAGGTTAATATAAATGAAAGGACAGTCTTAGCATTCCTTCTGACTTCTTTATTTCTGACCTCCCCACATTACCATCTATGAGGAAAAGCAATGATGTTTTCTTTCTGTAATATACCATAAGTTGAAACACATGGAAAGTTCTGCAATAAATTTTTCACACTGGAAATTTTTTTAGTGATTTTGTGTATTCTGCATAAATTTTCTTACTACATGTTCTAGCCATTCACTATCTTTTCAAGGAGAATTATCAGACTTATTTCATTGAATAGGCTGTTAATGGGCCATATAAAGTAGTTTATATAGTTTGTCAGTTCCCTCATTAACAGTACTGAAGTTTATGGTTAAGATAATTGGTTTAGATAGTAGTTCTATTGAGTTACAGCTACATGTGTGTTTTATAACTATGGAATGTCTTAGAAATTGAATATATGTGGATATGTATATGTACATATATATAAAATCTTTCTTCCAAGAGTCAATAATTGAAGTTTCTCTTTAGCAGAAGATAACAGTGCTAAAATAAGGTTTTAAATTGTTTTATTTAATCAGAAATAGTGTTATATTAAAGATATAAAGTGAATACACTGCTGGTATAAAAGGTAGAATCATATGTTGAAGTGTTTTATAAAAAACCCAATATTCATTAAAGAGTGAGGTACTGTAATGTTTAGAAGTTAATATATTTCCAATTTCTAGAGCACTAATTTTTGTCACTGTTAATTTATTTCAGTGCTAAACCAACAGACTTTGATTTCTTAAAAGTTATTGGAAAAGGCAGCTTTGGCAAGGTAAGAGCAAAGAAATAAGTACATGAAAAATGCAGCGTGATATATATGGGAGGCCGCCAGAATTGTTGGCATGCAGGATATGGAAGTGAAATGTTTTCTCTACTTTTGAAATAACTGACAGTAATTAATGAGAAAAAGCAGCTATTCAAATTCCAACATAAAATTTGTTTGTTGACAGGCATGTGTTGTGCCATACACAACTCTGGACTCTGGACTTTATTCAGATAGTACTGAATAAAACCAGTATGGTTACTAGCTTTGTTTTACTTAGAAGCTAGTGGCAGAAATAGCCTATTAAAAATGTCATCAAGTCTAAGGGTATGATTCAGTGGTAGAATATATTCTTTGTGTGCATGAGACCTTGCAGTGAAATAAATAATTACAAGTACATTGGGGCTGTGAAGGAAATGTAGACTAGTAAAGTGACAGCCAGTTTTCAGTAATGTTTGTGGGGGAACCTCTACTTAGATAGAGGATGAAGGGGTGCGCTTCTTTGTTGGTGATAGGGACAGAGGAGTGAGGTGGGCAGATCCAGTGGTGCTTGGGGACTTCACAGTGCTGGAGATGGAAACAAGGGTCTCACATATGCAAGGCATTTACTCCACCACATGCTCAGCCCTAAGAGGTGCTAGTTAAACTGAAACTGGAAAGACAAAATTGAGCAGCTGTGTAAACATTTGAGGAAGGAAACAGATAATGTAAAGACCCTGTTTCTCAGTATCAACGATCACACAACTCCACGATGTGACCAGATCTAGGCAGGAAATCACTAAGGCTACAGAATCATCAGTACATCCTGACGCAAAGCACGTGTGTGTTTAATTGTAGCTTGCAGGGAGTAGCTCTAGTGTTTTCTGAGTTCCCTCAAGGTCACAGACCAATTTTATGTGATTATAAGTTAAACCCATTTTTGTATATTAATACAGAAAATGTTTTATTTATCACCTGTTGCCTGTGGGTTTAACAAAATAACTCATAGTATAAATAAAAGAACAGTTCCTATTTTCAGAATGCTCACATTCTATTAGAATGTTAAAGTTTCTCCAACATTAAAAACAAAAGCATTACTTTTTGAAAACATATTGTAGAATCTACCAATTATTAATTTTTGTATATACAGATCCTCCTCAATTTAAGATGAGGTTTTATCTCAGTATACTCATTCTAAATAAATTTATTTATACTCTAAATAAAAATGTCAGTTTAAAATGCATCTAAGGGCTATAGATATGGTACAGGGATTAAGGCACATTCCTTGCATCAAGTCAGCCCTGTTGGATCCCCATCACCACACAGTCCCCTGAGCATTGCCAGGTGCAGTCCTGGAGGCCTCAAGCACCACTGGCATATCCCAGGTAATACCTGGTAACACAGGACCAAGTAGCATCACATCCTTGGATCCTAGCATTGAACCACCAGCCTGGTTGGGCAAGAATTACTTAAAGGAGCTCCTGCTTGAGGAGTCATGTCAACTACCCAAACTCCCAATGCAAAAAAAAAAAAAATGGATTTAATACAACAGGGAGATAGCTCAAAGGACTGAGCACATTCTTTGCAGGTAGGTCTTGGTCTATCCCTTACACCTTATGGTACCCTGAACACCAGGAGTGATCCCCAAGCACAAAGCCATGAGTTGCCATCACCATCAATGGTTGTAGCACCAACCCCTGCCCCCACCCCCGATAAGGCATTTAATACTCCTGACTTACTGAGCATTATAGCTTATTCCCACTAACCTTAAGAAAATTCGGAACACTTACATTGGTCATACAGTTAGGCAAAATTCTTCCAATGCAAAGACCATTTTATAATGAACAATTGAATATCTCATGTAGTGTGTTAAAAACTATGCAGAATGCATTTTGTTTTCATAAGGACAATCATAAGTTCATCTTTAATAAATCCTGTCTGTAACGGTAGCATGGTTAGCTCCTTTTATTCCAAATATTCAATGGAAGCTACATAATTTAAGGAAAAAACTTTGTTCCCTACTGTTCTACAGCGTAAGCTACTATAATGTCAATATGTATATAGATCTCTTTATAGATTTTGTTTTATATACACCTTTGTAAAGTTTTTTTTGTGTGTCATTGCTTGTATATATTTGGACTAGCATGATATTGTCGTGTGTGTGTGTGTATGCGCGTGCGCGCATGCACGTTTCAAATTGTCTTGACAAATGTAGCTTAACATCCAAACTTCCTATTCTTTTTCAAGGGCTCCTCTGTTACTCGTAACCCTTGCCATTTCTATATAAACCCAGAATTTAATAGATCAACTTCCATATTGTATTTCTGGTGGATTTTGATTAGAATTTCATTGAATGTGTATGTCAGTGTGGAAGAATGGTCTTTACAGTACCAAGTTAGTGGGCACCTTGGTGGTGGGAAATGTACCCTGGGGAAGGAATGGGTGTTGGAGGGTATGACTGAACCGCAGTGATGAACAGCTTTGTATCTGTTTCTCAGTGATTTAATGGAAAAAAAACCACAAAAATCCAATATCAAGTTAGTCCATCACCATGGTATATCCTTTTAGTGATTTCCTCATTTTTCTTAGTTATGATTTTATAATTCTCTTAGTACTATAGAGAAGTTTGGGGTTTTGTTTTTTGTTTGTTTTGGGCCACACCTGACGAGACCTAGTTACTCCTGGTTTGATAGTCAGGACTATTCCTAGTAGTACTCAGGAAACAATATGGAATGCCAGGGATTGAACCCAGGTTGGCTGTGTGCAAGGTGAGCACCTTACCCACTGTACCAATTTTCTGGCCCCAGTAATACTAAATAGAAGTTTTATCCATCTATAGGTTTATTCTCTGATGTTTTTGTTTTTCGGCAATGCATAAGAATTACTTCTGCCTCTGCACTGAGGAATTACTTCTGATGGTGCTCCAGGTACCATATAGGATGCTGGGAATTAAACTCAGGCTGTCTACATGCAAGCCAAAGGCCCTTATTCCTGTACTACTGCCCTGGTCCCTTATGTTTTCTTTTTTATGTTATTAAAAACTTCTGTTAATTATTGAGGCTGGATATATGCATTGCTACAAGACTTTTCTATTTATAGCTATGTTTTCAATAGAAATATGTGCACATATATACTAGAAAAGACATAAGCCACAATATTCATTGCATCATTTAGAGAGAAGTTGGACCACACCTTAGCAGTGGTCAGTGGATACTCCTGGCTCTGTGCTCAGGAGTCACTCCTGGTGGTACTCAGGGGAAAAGGCACTGTTGGGGGTAGAACCCAGGCTTCCGCATTCACAGCATGCACCCTTGGAGCCATCTCTCTGGCTCAAAGTATCATTTTTTATAGTCAAAATTATAAACAGAATAATGGATGAATTGTGATATATTCATATAGTGCAGTGTTCTAGAATTACAGCATCAAAGTATGAATAATTGCTGTGTTACAACATAAATATTGCATGCTTTAAATAAACCAGAGACAGCTTTATATTATTCTAGTTACATAAAATTCAGAAAGTGGTAGTATACCAGTGTTATTGCAAGGAAGATAGGTAGGGCGTTTGCCTTGCACGCAGCCAGCCCAGCAGAGCCGGGTTCAATTCCTCTGCTCCTCTCGGAGGTTCTAGAAAAGGGCAAAAACAAAAAAAAGGAAGAATAAAAAGTATATAAAAAGAGAAAAATGTTTAATTGAGTCAGATATTATAGAAAACGAATGAGAAAGGGAAAAAATGCTAACAGTTTTGCACTGGACATCTTCACACTGAGTTGTTTTTTTTTTTTACTTTATTACCTATAATGTTATTTGCTCTTTTTTTCTTGTTTCACCTTTTGCTCCTTCTTCCCTTTGTCATTGTTATGACTAAGGGTCATATACACACCTAGCTGTGGTACTTGCAGTTTTCTTCTGTTTGTAGTGCTTGCTGAGGGTCCCACTTTCTGACCAAGGTGCTCTGACATCTTTTTTGGTTGTGGTGGTGTTTGCTGAGGGTTGCAGCCTGCCGCTGCAGCGCACACACACTCCTGACTCAGGTGCAGCTAGAAATTGCTTGTGGCACTGGGGTCACACACAACAGAGCTTCCCTGCACAAAGCGTAGCACTGCCAGGGCCATGCTCAGTGCGTAGATTTCTCTGATAAGACTTGTGCTGGCTCACTGAACCGTCTCCCCGGGACTTTGTTTTACAAAACAGAAATACTGCTTTATTGGCAAGTGAATCATCCTATACAAAGTAAAATTTCTTATAGTACACATAAATCCTTTATAACAGGTTCTTCTTGCAAAACGGAAACTGGATGGAAAATTTTATGCAGTCAAAGTGTTACAGAAAAAAATTGTTCTCAACAGAAAAGAGGTAAGATAAAATAGCTTTGTTTCTCCTAAGCTCATCTTCTCAACAGTATTATTCTCTCTCTCTTTTTTTCTCTCTCTATATTTATACATGTAACAAGTTGATACTTTGCATCTCTTTTTTTTTTTAACAGCAAAAACATATTATGGCAGAACGTAATGTGCTCTTGAAAAATGTGAAACATCCATTTTTGGTTGGATTGCATTATTCTTTCCAAACAACTGAAAAGCTTTATTTTGTTCTGGATTTTATTAATGGAGGGGAGGTGAGTTATGAATTTTTTTTTAATGGAGGAGGGAGTGAGTTTTATCTTTAGTTTCCTAGTATTGATGATAAAGAATAAAGTCAAAGTTCTACATAAAAACTTCAGAAGGATTATTTTTCTAGTATCAGCAGCTATTTGTTGATTCGCAGCAGTATTTAAGATGTTGGCAAAGCCCAGTGAAAGATGTGGAGAAATACAATGCACAGCAGTTTATGGTGTACATGAGAAGGTTCATTGAAGAACCTGGATATAAAGCTTCTGACTTCATGAAGCATTTTGCCACTGAGTTTAGTAATACTGAACTTAGAAGAGAACATGATTTGTTACTTAGGTAATTATTGTTTTGTTGGTTGCACATAAATATTACACTAGCCCATCATTGTTTAAAATATACAGGGTAGGGTCAGAGTGATAGTACAGTGGGTAGAGCACTTGCTTTGCATGTTGCAACCTAGGTTTGATCCCTGGCACCCCAGGTGGCCTCCCCGTGCCCCACCAAGAGTGATCCCTGACACAGAACTAGGAGTAAGCCCTGAGCACTGCTGGGTGTGATCCCAAAACAAACAAAAAGATATGCAGGCTATTAATCATCTAATAAAGGTTTTTGTGGATAAGTCAGTTTGGAAAATATTTTCTGTTACATCACCTTGGTGATTAACAATATGTTTCGTGGTGACTTACACTATGTTTCAGCATATTAAAGACTTTGAGAAGTCCCACTTTAAATAAAACCAGGGTGTCTCTAAAAAATATTTTTCCTACACAGCCTCCGTTTTGTTTGAACCAAATGTTCAAACAAAAATTTATTGATATCAGGCTGGAGTGGTAGCACAGCGGGTAGGGCGTTTGCCTTGCACACGGCCTGACCCGGGTTCGATTCCCAGCATCCCATATGGTCCCCTGAGCACCGCCAGGAGTAATTCCTGAGTGCATGAACCAGGAGTAACCCCTGTGCATTGCTGGGTGTGACCCAAAAAGCAAAAAAAAAAAATTATTGATATCCTCAATCAGAAGAATCTTAGAATATATTTTGGAAAATACTGTTGCAGTAATTATCATAGTAATAGCTGACATGTTCTTATGTGCACGAACTTTGATTCTTGTATTATTTTAACTTCATAACAGTCTTACCATACATATAAAATATAATAACCTGAGTTACCAGAAGTTAGATAATTTGCTCAAGTTATGTCACTTTATAGTATCATAGCCAGAAACTGAATTCAGGCCATCTGAATCCAAGACATAGACAACTCATCACCGCCCATTTCTCTACTTCTAAGTCTTCTTGCCTTTCTCATTTGTTTATTCTTTGACCTATAAATGAGCTCAAAAAAGTTTTTAAGGTCTGATGTACATATCCAGCCCTCCACATGCTTCCTCAAAAATTATTGCTCTTTCAGGGGACTTTTTATCCCCTAGTTCTAAGAACAGAGAAGAAAAGAATATTTCAGCCATACTGTAGTATACTTAACCACAGAATAAAGGAACTAGAAGGAAGAACAATTTCTGCTCTTCTACAAACCTGAAAGATGATCCTAGATCATTTGGGGAAAAGAATCATTGCCACTCCCCTCTATTTGTGATAAAAATGCCTTAGCACTCCCTGATGTGTTGAGGCCCGGAACAATAGTACAATGGGTTGTGTGCTTGCCTTGCACACAGCCTACCCAGGTGTTATCCTTGGCACCCCATTTGGTCCACTAAGCTTTCCAGGACTGATCCTTGAGCACAGAGCCAGGAATAATTCCTGAGTATCACCCAACCCACCCCTCCCCCACAAAAAAACCAAAACCGCTCTCTAGGTGCGTAGGGGGATGTATAATATTGATTATATATTATATTATATTATTATTGATAATATTATACATCCCCCTACGCACTCTCCTTCCAGTATGTAATCAGTTCCCTCTTTGAGAGTCCTCGTTTTCTGTTTTGTATGTGTGGGTGCTCACATAATGAAAATGCATTGAAGTTTTTTTAAGTTATTTTACAGATATTACTGCAGTTTTCACGATTCAGGGAGATAAAAGCTTTTCATACCCATTTTATAAATACTGAAATTAAGACTCAGAGAGGTCAAGTAACTTTTTGTTGTTGCAGTGTTCTAGTAGGTGACGGGCCCTAGATTTATCCTGGACAGAAGTACCACTCTTTGTCTTTGAACTATCATGTGAGGCATCGTGCAGATGAGACTGTACTACTAGTTTCCTGCTTTATCTGTGGTTTCTTCATGCTGTTTTAGGACTTTGCTTCTGAGCCCTTTTTTACACAGAGACCGCTCATAAACTGAGTGGAAGGTGGAAAGAGGTAGGCTTGTCTTCTAAAAGATAACACTTAACTAAGATAATGGGGGAAAGAAAATGAAATAGAATTTTGGGATGGGAGGAAGAGTGAATGGGGTAATAGGTAGAAGAGGAATGAAGATGAGGAAAAAGGATAGCAAGGGAGGAGGAAAGATGTGATTTCATTATGTGTCTTCTAATATTATTACTATAATTTTCTCCCATTCATAGATTTTTTAAAAAATTTTGTGTGTGAATTTATTTTATATGACCCCTTCAAATCTGTTTTGAAGCTTAGCAGAATATAAACAAATAAGTTTTAAGGTACAAACTGTTGAGCCTCAGCCGTCTCATTAATTTCCTACCTCAAAATGATGAGGTAGAGCAAATAATGCAAACATAAATTACTTAGATAGTGCTTTTGTTTAGTAAGCAGTGTTAGCTATTTATTGCTGAATTGTTATATTTTCACTTCGGGTGGTTTTTATTAGTAATACGATATTGAGCAGATTGTGATCAGGAGATTAGTAAATAGAATACTATGGTTGTATATTTACAGCTAATGAAAGCAGTGGGAGAAGTAAAAAGGAGGGAATATTTACTCCAAAAATTTAAGATGAAAACAAGAATTTTTTTTATTTGTTAGATATAAGTGGTTATGGGTAAAAGAGCAGTTCAGGTGAATCCCAGGTTAGCGCCCATTTAACTATTCTTACTGGCTCTGTTAGAACTGATCTTCACCATGACCTTTAAAAGATTGAGGAAAAAAGACAGTTTTTGAAAATTAGAGAAGTAAAGTGAATTGCATACTAAAGTCCAGTCAGCCCTAAAACCTCTTTCCATTGTACCCCATTGCCTTTCAGACTACATCAGCGGCATTAAGTAAAGTGTTATGTGTGAAACCATTGCAGCAACAATGCTGTAAATCACAGTGCAAAAACTTCTTTTTTAAAATAAAAAAGTGCCTCTCATAAAAACAAACTGGTGGGTGGGAGGCAAATGGGGTTGGTGGGGGAAGGGGGTGCAGGGGGGAGCTTCGGTAGAGGGAGGTGGTCACTGGTGAAAGGATCAGTGTTGAAACATTGTAGCCTGAAACCCAACCATGAATAACTGTAGTTTCACAGTGACCAAAATATAAATAATAATTTTTAAAAAATGGGTAGGAGAAGATAAGGGACTCTGTTTTAGAGAAGTAGCATTGCTGGCTATGTGAAGTAGGAAAGAGCAGACGACAGCAAGTCTTCGAAGTAGAAGCTGCAAGTTAGAGATCTGGGATAGAAATGTTCACATGAGCAGCATTAATATAGAATAGAAAAGGTGTTTAAAATCCTGGCAGTAGATTCAGGTCGTGGGCCAGAAATTGAAAGAATAACAGTGAAGAAATCAAGGGCAAAAATCAAAGGCAAAAAGGGTATAAGAGATGGAGCTCTCCATGGTAGAATGAGCTTGTCCTACAAGCTAAGGGACCTGCAATAAGATCTGTAGCAAACTTTGTTCAGACAAGTAAATGGATGACTAAAGGATTGGTTGTAAGAAATAAGTTATGATTAGGAAGTATCAGAATAAACTGGAGAATCAGCTCTTGTTCAGCTTCAGCTGGTTACTGTCATTCATCACGTTTAACTTTTTTTTTTTCTGTTTTTCCAGAAGAAATAAAAACTAGAAGGAGGCCGAGAGATAGTACAATGGGTAGGGTACTTGCTTTGTGCACGAGCCAAACTGGGTTCAATCCCTGGCATCCCTTATGGACCACTGAGCCCCACCAGGAGTGGTCCCTGAGCACTGTAGGGTGTAGCCCCCAAACCAGACCTTCCCCCCAAATGAAGGTAGAAAGAAAAACGACAAGAGATCCTCTTGTATTGTTGTTGCCTACTGTTATTAGGGTGTAATGCAGGGGCCTTTGATGCTGAGATCAGAGGACTCCAGGATTACTATCAGCAATACTCATCTGTCTGGGCAGGAGGGTTCCGTCTTAGGGCCTGCTGACAAATGCCTGCTCAGGTTAATCAGTACCAGGGCCACCGTGAGGGGCTGGGGGGGGAGGGTCAGTGATGTTGTTTATATTTATAGAATATATTTGTTTTTACTTCTCTGTGAATTAATCAAATGCTCATATCACATACCCTCCTCCCCTCCAATTTTGCAGCTTTTTTTTCACTTACAAAGAGAACGGTCCTTTCCTGAACACAGAGCTAGATTTTATGCTGCTGAAATTGCCAGTGCTCTGGGTTACTTGCACTCCATCAAGATAGTGTACAGGTAAGTGTTGTAAATACCATTTGTAAAAATGTCTTTATTCCTCTATTTCATTTAACATTCACTTTTGTTTTTCTTTTAATTTGATAGAGACTTGAAACCAGAAAATATTCTTTTGGATTCCGTAGTAAGTACTGACTTAATAACAGTCTACTAGGTCTTAGTGTGTACTTTGCTGTTACACTTAAAAGGGGGAAATTCAGTTTCTAAGTTTCCATATCACATGGTGATGGTTACATTTCTGTAACATTCCCGGAAGAATAAAACAGCCATGGGGAACAGATTTGTGGATGCCAGAGACCAGGGACAAACATTCATGTGGGTGTGCAAAGTTGGATGGTATTAAAATGAAATTCGTTTGTTTCTTTACAGTGTTAGACACTCATATTGATTGTGCTAGTAAACAGACCCATATATCTCTTTTGCACCAAACTACACATACACACAAACAAATGTGTGCTTGTAAAAAAAAAAAATAGTGAAAGCTGAATATGATTGACCATCTTGTTAGCATTATTGTGCCAATGTCAGCTTCCCAATTTTAGTATTATTATTGTTATATAATATGTTGGCATTTGGGGGTATATAGGGTATCCCAAATGGGGGGCTTATAAAATTCTTTCTGCAATTTCCTGTGGGTCCATAATTATTTCAAAATAATAAAATTATCAATATGTGTCTGTGCTTTTTTTGATCTTACTACCCCTGATTTTGTCAGGGACATGTTGTCTTAACAGATTTTGGACTTTGTAAAGAAGGAATTGCTATATCTGACACCACAACAACATTTTGTGGGACACCAGAGGTAAGAAATATGTCTCATTTGTTATTCATATAACCGTATGTAAGGTGCAGATCTTGATCACAAATCCAAAATTTAGAATCATAAAAGTCAAATATCATTGTTTCTATTTCCAGCTAGTTGTAAATATTATCATTCCTCGCAGACATTTTTAATGTTAATTAATGACTTACGATTTTAACTGTGGTTGAGATCGCAAATGCTTTTGACTAACTCAGTTAAATTATAGTTAATTGTTTTAATGTTGCAGTTTATCTTAGACTTTTTAAAGCATATGATTGTATCTCTAATTTTTATTAAAAAAAAATAAAAAATGGGACCTGGGAGAAACTCAAGGAACTAGGCATGTGCTCTGCACTCAGAAGCCCAAGGTTCCAGCCCTTGCACCCCAAGTACCACTAGGAGTGACTCCTCCCAAGCATTAAGCCAGAAGCTCCCCCAAGCATCACTGGGTATGGCCCAGAATAGGGAATTAAAGTTAGCAATGAGAATTGGATAAAATTTATGTTACTAATATTTGCATAACTGAATATTCTAACAACCAGTAAACTATACACTTAAAATGAATGAATTATATAATATGTGAATTAATAAATCTATATTTTTAATTACAGAAGTTATATTTATAAACATGATGAACTGGAAATACATAGTAGAAAAGCATAAAGCTCATATTCTGTCAGTAAGGAAACAGCCAGTGCCTCTACATTTGGCATATCCATTCTTCTTGGCTAGTATGTTTGATATTATTTTTTCCAACACAATTCAGTTGAAAGATAAAGGCTGTGTTTACACCTTTAACATACCTGGTCTATGTGGCTTCGTAAGGAAAACAGAATTCCCAACTCCATCCATCAAAAATCTCTGCCCTATCTACTGACTCAGGCAAGGGTGGTAGCAAGGGTGGTAGAAGGTATGCTGGGCTGGCACACATTTTCATTATACAAATCTTCTGGAAATTTTTTTTCATCGCCATCAGGGAAATATGCAGGGAAAGGTAGGTTTCTACAGGAATCCTTATATGCAGGCAGTTTAGAGTTTTTGATCTTTCTAAGCAATTTCTATATCCAGACACAGAGCCATTTACATAGATGATATTGTGCTTTGTATTGATTCTCCTCACTTTTAGCCCACATGATGTTCTATCTACTTTTCCCATTTTTCCTGGCATTTTAGTTACAGGCCAGACTCTGGCAGTATCACCAGTTGCAGTAGCTCTAGGTCTCCTGTGGGTCTTTGATCATGAGTCACAGGTTGGCCTTAAGATCCCCATCTTTTCACAATACCTTGGAAACCTTTACCGATTGTTTTCGCCATCACATCTACATACTGTCCTGGACGAAAGTGAGCAGCATAAAGAGGAGTGCCTGGCTTAATTACATCATTATCTGTTACACGAAAGAATTTCACTTCTGCTTGGTGGCAGTCCAAGTTCTCAGTAAAATACCAACATAGCTGGAGATTTGTGAAATGTTTTTTCCTCCTATGGTTAAGATTGCTATTTTTCCATCATAGTTTTTCTTTGGAGTATACTTTAGGACTTGACAATCTTTCACCTGGAGCGGTGTGACCACATGCTTTTGGCCATCTTTGGTCCATAGAGGCATCATGCCCAGCTTCAGAGCAACGTGTCCTACTGTAGAGGAACCTGGTTCCCAAGGGTGTATAGGCCACAGTTCATCCTTCAGCGGTCACAGTTTACTTGTTAACTGGGCCTTATTTTCATTAGAAACCAGTTTCTTCAAAAAGGAGACATTGTCTTCAGAGAGATGCTCATCCCACCATGTAGCACTCTTGCCATGTAAACTTCTAACCACAAGGCAGATGTTTATTCTGTTCCCTGGGGCCCGGGCAGCATCCAGATGCCAAAGCCCAGCACCTAGGCACTGGCCTGGGCCAGCAGCTGCCAGCTGGGTATGGAGAGGCAGGGGACTGTGCAGAGCAATGCAGGGCCCTCACCGCTGGTGCCCATCCAGCTGTAGCCTCCCTGGAGCCATCCTGCCGATGCCCTCTGGGAAAGAGTGTCAAATCTGATTTTTTTAATGAGCCAAAGAAAATATGGTAAATGGTTAAATAGTAACATTGTTAGGACTGGAAAGATACTATAGTGGGTAGGACACTTGCCTTACCCACTGTGGACAACTTGAGTTAAATCACAGTCCAGCACCCCATATGGTTCCCTGAGCATGGCCAGGTGTGAATCCCAAAACAAAAGAATAATTTTAAATAAAATATTATATTGACACTTTATTTAGTTTTGGTGTGGGAATTGATCTTGGGGCCGATACATGCAAAGCAGGCTCTCCACTACCTTGCCACATTTCCAACTCTTAATGTTTATATATAGGCAGAAGCTTGGGTGGGCTTTTTAGCCATTGTTGAATTTTTGGTTTGGTTTTGTTTGGTGGCCATACTCCAGTGATGCTCAGGGGTTATAGTGGCTCTGCACCCGGGGATCAAACCTGGGTCATTCGCATGCAAGGCAAGCACCTGATGTACTGTCACTCTAGCTCTGCTTTGTTGTTTTTGTCAGGAGACAAAAGTCCTTTTATTTATTTATTTATTTATTTGCTTTTTGGGTCACACCCGTCGATTGTCAGGGGTTACTCCTGGCTCTGCACTCAGGAATGACTTCTGGCGGTGCCCAGGGGACCATATGGGATGCTGGGAATCGAACCTGGGTCAGCCGCATGCAAGGCAAACGCCCTACCTGCTGTGCTATCACTCCAGCCCCAAAGCCCGTATTTTTTTAACTTAAAATTTAAATTCACCTTCATATACATACATATATATACATATAATATACACATACATGAAACTGATTAGTTTACATTTTTTTACAAATTAAAATGTTAGTAGCTATTTAATAACTTACACAACTTTTCTAAATAATATTTTAGAGATTGCCATTTATTTTTTTGTTTTGTTTTGTGGGCCTCACTTGGTGCTCAGAAGCTATTTCAGGCTCATTTCCTGGAGCCTGAATGGGGAGTGGGTAAAGAAAGCCTTCAGTGCTGGGGATCAGACCCAGGCCACCTGCTTGGGAAAAGGCACACTCCAGCCCGTTGAGCTATCTCCCTGGCTCATGTTGGGCTTCTTAAAATTGGAATTCACTCAGTAAAAAGAGTAAAAAGGATTATAGTGGCCACTTTAAGACTTTTTTCCCTTAGGAGCCAGGTAGGTAGCTCAGTAGGACTGGAATGCATGACTTGCGTTTGGTGGGCCCAAGTTTAATCCCAACACTGACTGGCCTCCGCAAGCCCCACTGTGTGTGTGTGGCCCTGGTAACCCTTGGCTCTGTGGGGCCTTAACATAGAGCCTTCTGACTCAGTTGGCCAGGTGTGGCCCATAGTGGCCCTTTTGCCCCATGAACACTGTTCAGGACCACCCTCCCCCAAAAAAATCTTTCTTCAAGACAATTATAAATTATGTCCAGAGACTATATGAATTAATCTTGTGAAAGATTTCCTTCACAAAATACCTGCTTTATGGTATTATTTTACCTATTACAGTATTATAGAATCTTCATTTGCTTCCTCTTTGTCTTAGCTGCATCCCAGTTCTGGGGAAAATGTTTGAGTATGTGTATCTTGAATATCTCACAGTTGAATCTGAGAAGTTCCACTACCTAATAACTACTGGTGTTAAGAATAGCTAACCAGTTGAAAATTCTAGATACTACTAGATATGGTTGTGATTGTTGTTTTGACAATACTGGGGGGATAATTTCTAAGTTTTGTCTTGAGCTATTTGAATTGCTCTAATAATTTATCTTTTCTATAGTACCTTGCACCTGAAGTCATCAAAAAACAGCCTTATGACAATACTGTTGATTGGTGGTGCCTTGGTGCTGTTCTGTATGAAATGCTGTATGGATTGGTATGTTATTTTACCTTTTGTTATTAAAATTAATTTTTCTGTTAATCTTATGAATACTCAACAGGATATTACCCATGGTTAAGTTAGTTAAAAAAAATTAGGGATCGTACAAAAATAAAAGGGTTTTCTTTGTTGTTAATGTTTTATTTTGATTACGTCTCTTTCATACTAATCACCACTTCAGTTTTTCTGATCCCTCTTGTATCTTTTAGAGATAAATAGTTTTTTTGGTTTTTTTTTTTAATGTATGAGAACCACACCCAGCATGCGCAGGTGCCATATTTAAACTCATGATCATGCACATGCACTCAAGCTAAGCAGATCCTGAGATACCTAATCTTAACATTAAAATGTCATTAATCTTTCAGGGCCAGAGCAAGAGTATAGCAGTTTACCTTGTACATAGCTAACCTGGGTTCTATTCCTCCAAGCCCTCCCAGGTTTGATCCCTGAGTATAGAATGAAGAGTGAGCCCTCAGCACAACCAGGTGTGATCCAAAAAACAAAAACATTATTTTTTAATGATACCATGAAACTTTGCTATTTTAATCAATCATTCTGCCCAGTTTGTGTTTATGTGTTTGTCTGTGTGTCTGTGAAGTAGGAGAGTTTTTATTGAACAAAATTTTCTTAGATATGAGGAGAGAGAAAGAAGTATATGTGCTCCTCCAAATGGGGAAAAAGCAGAAAGATACTTCTGCAAGGGAGAACACAGGCTTGAAAGAGCAAGCACATTCTGCCCAGTTTTAAAAAGATAGAAAGAAAAAGGATTTTCAGTCTTTTCAGGAGGTAATACCTTTTGGTTTTCCTTAAGTTTTTTTTTTTAATTTAATTTGTATAAAGTGCTTTATGTTTTCCAACCCTAGGAACTCCTGTGATCACCATAAATACACCACCTCTTAAATATTTCATTGAAAATAAGTAATGTTTACTATGTAATCATTTTTTCCCCAGTTTTCATTAACTGCAGACACAGAGGCTAGCCAGAGCTTCTGTTTAACCTGAGTGAAGCTGTTTTACGACATTGAGTTAATATCATACTAACCTAAAGCAAACATGTCAGGCATTTTAGTTCATTTACATGTCCTTATGGGAATACTGCATGTTTTTCTTTAAGCTTTCAAAAATATTTAGAGATTAATCTTTTTGTTCCCTCTATGGTCCCATAAGTGTTCATCATTTCTATTCTGTTCTGTCTCTGTCCCCTGTGCTGGTGCCCCACTTCTAAATTAACAATCACATCAGCTGAGACAGAGCCAGGGCTTAGTTTTCTCATTTTGCTTTTTAGTCAGAGAAGCTCCCAACAAAATTCGAAACATGTGGTACATAATTACCCTGTTTATTTGATACTGCTAACTTTGAAAGTTAGATTTGTAAGATAGCCAGTACTGTCTCTCAACTATTACCTGCTTCTTATAAGATTTTGTGGTTATACTAACAACGTGTAGCGATAGCACAGCAGGTAAGGTATTTGCCTTGCATGCGGCTGACCTGGCCTACCCAGGTTTGATTCCTCCGCCCCTCTCGGAGAGACCGGCAAGCTACCTAGAGTATCTCGCCCGCACAGTAACAACAAGTTTCACAATGGAGACGTTACTGGGCCTGCTCGAGCATATCGATGAACAACGGGAGGACAGTGACAGTGACTAGCAACCACTTTATGTTTCACTTTCAAATGCTAAGTGTTTGCCATCTTGTTAGTCTTGCATCCTGTGAATTTCCCCAGAAGACTTCCAAAGTATAAAATTATTGCTTTATATAAAATTAATTGATTCAGAAGAAGCATACATTATTAGTAAGACTTAGATTAGCTCTATGTTACATTAGCTTTTTAAAAATGAATGAAAATTTTATTTTGTGTGTGTTTGTGATACTGGGTTTGAAACCTGGTGTCTCACATGCAAGACGCGTGCTCTGCCACTGAATCATAACCAGTAACTCGAACCTTAGAATTCTCCCTTGAAAGTAGTTTATTCCTAAGTTGCAGGAAATTATTTAATATTTCATCTGAAATGAATTTCTGTTTTCAGTAATTCTCTTTGGATGTCTATGATGAGAGTTTTATAAAATTTTATACAATGGATACCTGTTTATAAGATTATATTGAACAAATTAGATTTCATTCCTTTTGTGAATTATGTTTACTAAGTTTGTGAACTTGGATTTTTAAATTTCTTCATGTCAAAGTCCTTCTGCAGAGAGCCTTCAAGCATCCAGATCTAGTCTGCTCTATGTAGATCAGAGTCAAATCCAGGGACCAGAAAGGTAGAGCTGGAGTTAGGGCACCTGTCTTACATGCAGCTGGCACCGTTTTCAACCCTGGCACCATATAAGGTTCCCTGACAAGACAGGAGTGATTCTTGAGCAGAGCCAGGAGTAAACCCTGAGCACCCCCAGTGTTATGCAAAAAAGAAAGAAAAAAATACCCAGAGCCAACGCCAACTATTCTTTAGCTCCATTTCAAATTCTTCAGTAAATACTAATTTTATTTTATTTTTATAACTAGCCTCCTTTTTATTGCCGAGATGTTGCTGAAATGTATGACAATATTCTTCACAAGCCCCTGAGTCTGAGGCCCGGAGTGAGCCTCACAGCCTGGTCCATTCTGGAGGAACTCCTGGAAAAAAACAGGCAGAATCGACTTGGTGCCAAAGAAGACTTTGTATGTATATCTTTCTTAATACCACTTTGTTCAGGTTCATTTGAAAAAAAAAGAATATAGTTTCTTATGTTATGTGGAATTAAATGGGAAGAAAACTGCTCTTAAGAAAAGTACCATAGGCAGGAGGCCAGAGAACTGGTACGGGGATTAAGGCACTTGCTCTGCAAAAGCTCAGTGCATTTCCCGACACCACCACCCTGAGCATCACAGGGTAGAACCCAAACACCCACTTCCAAAAGAATAAAGTAGAATTAAACTCATGTGGGGGAAAAAAATGTACCATGGCTAGAGAGATTAATACAAAGATCAAGCACTTGCCTTGCCTTTGACATATGGAATCAAATTCAAAGCCATGTAACACAAGGAGTCCTAACTGTGCTGTCACTGGCCCATACCCCTCCTAATTTCTAATTTTAATTTTATTTATAAGAATCTTTTCTTCCAGGGGCTGGAGAAAGAGCACAGCAGGTAGGGCGTTTGCCTTGCACAGAACCGACCCGGGTTCGATTCCCAGCATCCCATCTGGTCCCCTGAGCACCGCCAGGAGTGACTCCTGAGTGCAGAGCCAGGAGTAACCCCTGTGCATCACCAGGTGTGACCCAAAAAGCAAAAAAAAAAAAAAAAAAAGAATTTTCCCTTCCATCCCTTAAAAAAAAAACCCACAGATACAGGTTTTTAGTTTTAAATCATTTTATTTAATAAGTATAATAAGTGCCTTCTTACATGAGATAATAATGCTTTTTGCCAAAAATTAATATTAAATCATCTGCCTTCTCAGGCCCCCCCCCCCTCCCCCCGGCTTCGAGAATTTGGTGACATTACCTTGAGATAATAATGGAGTCTGTAGGAGGTTTTTTTTTTCTCTCTCTCTCTCTCTCTCTTTAAAATCGGGATAATTAAGTTGCTAGTACAGTTAACCATTTATAGTATCAGTCACTGTCACTGTCACTGTCCTCCCGTTATTCACTGATTTGCTCGAGCGGGCCCAGTAATGTCTCCATTGGAGACTTTGTTGTTACTGTGTTTGGCATATCGAATACATCACGGGGAGCTTGCCAGGCTCTGCCGTGCGGGCGAGATACTCTCGGTAGCTTGCCGGGCTCTCCGAGAGGGGCGGAGGAATTGAACTTGGGTCGGCCATGCTGACTGGTTGCAAGGCAAATGCCCAACCGCTGTGCTATCGCTCCAGCCCATAGTATCAGTAAATTCATTGAATTATTGAAGAATATGAAATTTTAAATTCATTTAAATTCCTCAGAAAGGTCTGTGTTGAATGTACATTACATCTAAGCTCTCTGCAGGAAATTCTTTGTATGCTTTTTGTTTGTTTGTTTTTGTTTTGTCTACTCCTGCATGGATAGCTCTGCCTTTGGTTCTGGTTTCTTCCAATTAAAAAGTAACCATCGGGGTTGGAGCAATAGTACAGCAGGTAGGGTGTTTGCCTTTCACACAGGCAACCTGGGTTTGATTCCCAGCATCCCATATGGTACCCGGAGCACCGCCAGGAGTAATTCCTGAGTGCAAAGCCAGGAGTAACCCTTGAGCATCGTCCGGTGTGACCCAAAAAGGGGGAAAAAGTAACTATCATCAAGCCACCTGCTTCTCAAAACAAACGAGAAATCTTCAGCCCTGCTGTTCTGCAAGTAATACTCCGTGTGTGTGTGTGTGTGTGTGTGTGTGTGTGTGTGCGCGCACGCGCGCGCTCTTTTTAAGGTTTCTGTATGAATTCTGTCTCTGCATTCTCCCTTTTCAAATTCTCCATTCTCATTCTACCACAAAGTAATTACTTAAGAGTACTCTGAACACTAGTGTTCAAAATTGGACTCCTGCTCACTACCCTATACTGTGCCCCATCTTACCAGATGATAACCATCGTTCTTCAGGTTGTTCAGATTATGCCACTCTTGACTCTTTTTCTTCCTTTAGTTTCAGTCTTGTATGTGGCTCCGAAGTCTGTCCCATTCCCAGACTCTGTCTTGACCGCAGTCTTTTTTTCCTAGCATTTTCATCTTCAATTTGTTGTTGGGGAGGTTTACTTTGTTTTGTTTTTCCTAATGGTAACCTTCCAGTACATCTGCCCATTAGAGTTAGAGCACCACTTGGGGGATGACCCTGGTGACCCCAGCTCAGCCAGGCCCAGGCAATACTGTGTCACCGGCCTGAGCACTGAACACTCAGGCCTGCACCCATATGCCAAGTGTTACAGGTAGTGGTCCCAGTCCCTGCTCCAGCACCTCAAAAACAGAAAACGCTAAACATGACATGTGTGCACGCGCGCGCGCTCACACACACACACACACACACACACACACGTTATCACATTCCTCTACCCATTTTTCAATGCCCAAATCCTTAGAATGAAGTTCACAAAATAACCTATTTGCCACATTGTGCAACAGTTTCCTTCCTCCCTGATATTACAACTATAGCATAAATAGCTAATTTTATCTTTTTCCCTGGTTTTCAGGGGAAGGGGGCAGGGTTGTTTGTTTGGTTGGGGTGGGGGGTTTTGCACCAGGGTTCAAATCTAAGGTCTCATACATACAAGGTATCTGCTCTCCGGTGAAGTCACATCCTGGGCACATATTTTATTTTCTTAACTGAACTTCTCTCTTTTCAAGCCCAGGGCTTTCATAATCTGCCTAGAATGTTTTCTCTCCCACCCCCCCCTTTTTTTTCCCATCTGGTTCATTTTCACTCATCCTTTGCTCAGATACCACTTTCTCAGACTTGGAGCCTGTTTCCAGCTCTGTGCTCCCTGTGATACTCAGGGAACTAATGTGTGGGATGGAGTCCTGCTCAGTCACATATAAGGCAGGCACCTCAACCCCAGCACTGTCTCTCTAACTTGCTAAGAAGTCTTCTTTACCCCACCAGACTGCTTAGGTCTTACTTGATATACTGTCATAGTACCTTGGATGGAAAAGGTAGAGATCATAATTTATAATTGCTTATTATCTTCAAGTTGTCAGAAATTAGACAATACTGAGTAACATTTTGGGGACATAATCAGTGGTAGCACTGTAGCACTGTTGTAGCACTGTGGTCCCGTTGTTCATTGATTTGCTCGAGTGAACACCAGTAGCATCTCCATTGTGAGACTTGTTGTTACTGTTTTTGGCATATCGAATACACCACAGGGAGCTTGCCAGGCTCTACAGTGTGGGTGGGATACTCTCGGTAGCTTGTCAGGCTCTCCGAGATGGGTGGAGAAATTGAACCCTGGTCTGCCACGTGCGAGGCAAATGCCATACCTGCTGTGCTATCGCTCCAGCCCTGATTAATATATTCCACAAATATTTAGGTGCTGATTCAGTTTCATTCAGTTGAGAAATTTGTAAGGCAGGATGCCTAAGCAGTACTCAGCGAACCAAGGGACCCACTCCTGGTGATACCTGCCAGGTATCAATTTCTAACTATCAATCTAGGGTAGAATTCTGTTTGGGTACCGAGCTCATCTCCTTGATTGTACCTCTGTCACACTGTGAAACTCTCGTATTCTACCTTCTTTTTTAGCCAACTCTATTCAAGGTAATAATTCATTAAACATATGTAATACTTTATTCTTGTCCTACCCTTTTTATTTTTGTATTTTTAGTGATCTTAAAATAATCCATGAAGTATTCAGGGCAAAATTGTTGGCCACAGTTTTACTTAAGAATAAACTTTGACTGTGAAGAGGATATAATTTTGTTATGTTTTTTATGTCTGATCTAGTATATTTCCACTAAACTGTTCTTCGTGGATGTGATAAATGTGTACATAAAAATAATTATTGAGGGACCAGAGCAATAGTACAGAATGTAAGAAATTTGTCTTGGATGCAGCTGGCGTAGGCTCCATCCTCTACAGCCTCTGTAGTCCCCAACCATGCCAGGACTGATCTCTGAGTACAGAGACAGGAATAAGCCCTGAGCACTGCAAGATATAACCCCCAAACAAAAAGAATTATTGAGGGACAAAGTTTTATTGGCTTGGTTTCATAAAGTTTTTCAGTATTTTCAACTTCAGTTAAAATTTTTTTGTTGGCCACTTAAATAAAATAAAGGTAGTAATTGTGTAAATTAATAGATGTTATAAAAATAAAGAAATCATGGAACTAAAATCTGTTTTTTCTTTAATATTGTAGCTGGAAATTCAGAATCATCCTTTTTTTGAATCGCTCAGCTGGACTGACCTTGTACAAAAGAAGATTCCACCACCATTTAATCCTAATGTGGTAAGTGTATGTTTAAACTTCTTTTTAAAATACTTAATCCTAATTTTAGCAATACATATCAAAATATAACTTAAGGGGCCAGGGAGATAGATCAGAGAACTGGAGTACACATCTGGCATGCAAGGGCCCCGAGTTTGATCCCCAGCAGCACATGACACTCCTCTTGCCCCACACCATCAGGGTTGTCCCAGGTGGCCCCTAGAACCATTGATCCAGCAGCACCTTGTCACCAGCACATTGAACCGTAGCACCCACAGAGCCAGGGCAGGTATCACCACGAGTGAATACTGTTTAAATATCCTGCCTTCCAAATTTCTCACTTGAATGAGTTGAATCAGTACCTAAATATTTGTGGAATATGTTACTCAGTATTATCTATTATCTGACAACGTGAAGATGACAAGTAAGATTATAGTTATATTGTCACTGTCACTGTCCTCCCTTTGTTCATCTATTTACTCAAGCCGGCCCAGTAATGTCTCCATTGTGACACTTGTTACTGTTTTTGGCATATCAAATATGGGTAGCTTGCCAGTATTTGCCGTGCGGGCAAGATACTCTGGGTAGCTTGCCAGGCTCTCTGGGACAAGCAGAGGATTGAACCTGGGTCGGCCTCATGCAAGCCCCCCCCCCCCCACTGTGCTATCGCTCCAGCACATAGTTATATTAGACTAATTAAACATATCTCCAGTATGTTAACTGAAACTTACATAAGAAAGGGATGAATTCAATAAGTTAATATATATACACCTGAACCCCTGAGCATCACTTGGGAGGTGGCCCCCAAAGAAAGTGTAGTAACAGAAAAATAAATATAAGTGACTTTTTAAAGTTATGAATCGTAATTATTTTCACCTAACAGACAAAAAGAAAAGGCCATAAAGTTAGTTGGGGTATGAAAAAGATATTCACAAAAACTGTTCTCAGTACATGTGTGACAATTCTACGATCTTGTACTGTTGTTTTCCACATTGTGAATAACTCAGGAACCACTCAGGTGGTCCAATAAGTTGCCTATTGGAGAATTAAAACTGCTACCTTCAACCCAGCTAGCACCTGTGCTTCATTTTCCAAGTCTTCTGGTCCCTTGGGCTGCTGTAGCCAAAAGTATCTTCACCAAAAGCTTCATGTTTCTGCAACAGCAGGAGAATTCCATTTCATGGTTTTCTTTGTAACCCTTAATTCTTCAAAAGGGCTCATTAACTCATCTGTCAAAAGGCTTTACCTTCCCAGAATTCAGAAACTAGATTGGCAGGCATTCTGGGGAAGCTAAATGCAAAATGCTATCTTACTTGGGCCCCTTTTCTAAACCTAGAGTTATAGAGATTTGTAGAGAAAGAGGTTCAGGTTTTTGGACCTGAGATTCATCTAAATTAACATAGATAAGGACTGTTATGCATGCTATCCTTCCTCAGCCTTCTCTCTTCTTACCCTGTCTTAAGAGAACCTTCACTAGGAGGACAGAAAATAAAACACAAATTATAAGTCTGCAGAAAGGAAAATCAGAAAATGTCTCCAGAAAATGATGAAGTTGCTCAAAGGACTGGAACTTATGACTTGCATGTGGGAGGCCGAAATTTGATCCTGAGCATCACATGGTTCCCCCATGTACCTACAGGAGCTACTTCAAAGCAGTGACCCTCCCCCCAGCTAATGCCATAGGCCCTCCCGTTGATCATCGATTTGCTCGAGCGGGCCCAGTAACGTCTCCATTGGAGATTTTGTTGTTACTGTGTTTGGCATATCGAATACGTCACGGGGAGCTTGCCAGGCTCTGCCGTGCGGGCGAGACACTCTCAGTAGCTTGCCGGGCTCTCCGAGAGGGGCGGAGGAATCGAACTCGGGTCGGCCATGTTGGCTGCATGCAAGGCAAACGCCCTAATGCCATAGGAAGATATCTAAACTTGTCAGTTTAAACACAAAAATTCATACAGAACTAGAAATATGGGAAAAAGAAAAAAGGTAATGTGATAATAATATGCTTTTGTTGTTTTAGGCAGGACCAGATGATATCAGGAACTTCGATACAGCGTTTACGGAAGAAACAGTTCCTTACTCTGTGTGTGTGTCTTCTGATTATTCTATAGTGAACGCCAGTGTGCTGGAGGCAGATGATGCTTTTCTTGGTTTCTCTTATGCTCCTCCTTCAGAAGACTTATTTCTGTAACATTTTGCCATCCAGGAAGCATTGAGTACATATAAGCCTATGAGTAGGACTGAAGCTCCTGTTTGTGTGAATATTCAAATATGTTTAACTAGTGCCTCATTTCTAATGTAATGTTGAAAACTATGAAAAATGTATTTTCTGCTGTATGCAAGAAAATAGGGCATTTCAAAGAGCTGTTTTGAATTAAATTTGTATTCTTGTTTATTATGCTTATTTTTAAACAAGTTTAAAGAGCTATTGTTCTTAGCATTAACCTATTTTTAAGAAAACTTTTGCTATTGACTGTTTATTTTCCTCTGAGTTTACACTAACCTCTACCTGAGATAGACTGTTTTTCAATAGTCTTCTTTCAATTCAGTTAATATATATGAATGCCTTTGTAACTCAATACCTTTACCTTTATTCTCAGATCAGAACTATGCAAGTGGTACATGATTGTTTCAGGAACAAAACATATTTTTCCATAATAAATAACAGACATAACAAGTTCTTAGTAGGATTAAAAATATAAAAACATAATACATTGGCTGCTGATCAGCATTTTGCATTCTGCAGCTCAAATAAAGGAGTAACAAAAGGAAATCCTTTGCTTTTGAAAAATAATTCAAATCTATGACTTTTTTGTCTGAAAGAAAAATAAAGTTTGATAGAAATTGTAAGTATTCCCAGAGATCTGAAGGGGTAATAAAATACTGCTGGATTTTTTTAAGGTGGTGCCAAAAATGAATGTCTCTGTGTCTTGTGTTTTATATTAATTAATGCATTTATTTTTTTTTAATGTTTAGTTTGCTGTTACATAGAGTCTAAATTGTGGTATATGCTTTGGCAAATTCTATCTATTCAGAATTATCTTTTCTGGTGAGTTGATAGGTAAAGATTTGAGCTCTCTAGAGTATTTGCCTAATTGAGAATTTAAATGGAGAATTGCAGATTTTGAGTCAATATAATCATTTTATCTAAATGAGAATTTAAATATAGGATAGCAAATTATTAGTCAATATAATATATACAGTTTCACTACAATGTGACAAAATTTTAAAATAATTTAAACAGATCCTTAGTCATTTTATCTTAGTATAAGTACAAAAAAATCTAAAAATTCTTAACCACTTAACTTGTAATTAATTGTAAAAGAAAATATTACAGAAAATTTTAAAGGAATATCTTTATTGGAATTCTGATCTTAGTTTAGAGGTTTTCCAAGTTTTGTAGGAAACACTGAAAATTTAGTGACCTGATTTAGATTCCAAGAACAAATGTTCTCTATACTTCACACCAATGCCCTTTACTCAAAAACATTCAGTAAAATAGGGAGAGTTAGTCTGCTTCTGTTAGATTAATAATACCTATATCTAATACACTGAATCTTCCTTTAGAGGCAAGACTTTAGTAGCAACACTGTAAATACTCAGTTTATTTGGCACTGCTGTAAGTTATCCTATTATGTAAAGTTTTTTGCTTATTATAAAGCAAAGTTAAAAAGTTTCATGTATGTTTTTTACTCAGTCACTCCTTAATTAAACTGCCAAAACTTAAAGTGCAATATTGTATATTTTTAAGAAGAAATTTTAAATAGAATACTGATGTTTCCCAGATGACAAGAAGTAAAAATCTTATGCAGTATAATAAAGTTAATAAAAATATTACTGATTAATGCCTGTCATTTTAAAATTGGTTATGATTAAAATACTCATCACAAAAATAAGCTATATGTATGAAAAAAGTATAGGTTTTTTTTGAGAAAAGTATAGTTTAACAAAATATTGGATACATATAAAAAGATCATATACTGATATATTTAAAATTTATAGATAAAAATCTAAAAATCTAAATTTAAACTTTTCTCTCACAGTATGCTAAGACAGAAAAAAAAAAGTATGCCCTTTGAATAGTTGAACCATTTAGTGGTTATTGCCAAAATAAACTTCAAGGTTGGAATGAAGTCTCCTTAATATTTTCATGTTACCTCTCATTTTATTGTATGTACTATAAGTAGAGAACATCTACTCCACCAGCAGCCTTCCTACCCAGTTACACATCCTAGCACAGACTAAAAATGGTAAAATTTGGTTCATTGGAAGAGTTGCTCAGTGATAGTAGCAGTGAGTACTCTCTCCAAAATTTTAACATGCCAAAATAATTTTTGAATTTGAGATACTTACAGAGAGAGCCAGCTAACACTAAAGGTAATTTTATCAATAAGATATTAAAAGATGGTTTCAGTATTCTAATTTTATTATTAAAAATGAGCATCGATTCATATTAAACTATGGTAAATTTTTTTCTGTTCCTATTCTCAGCATTTTTTTGTTAGTGTAGTGATTATCCTTGGACTTACTAAGTATAAAACCTTATGCAGATATTTTTGTGTTAGTCTTTTTGTATATCATATGCTGTATGAAAAATGGGAGTGGTTATGTAGAAACTTTTATAATGCTGAAATGACTGTCAATAAAGCATGTTAAAATTTGTAACTTAATTCCTTATACAATTTGGAATTTCTGTTTTGAAGTGGTATTTTCTTTTTCCTTTTTTTTGAAACTTTTTATTTTAAGGTTTTTGAAGGGAAGGAGGGAGAGGAAGTGGGAGAGTAGAGAGTAACATGTTCGAGAGAACCCGGGCAGAGAGAGCCCCCCTACACACACCTCAGCAGGTGGGCAGCACAGAGTCTCAGGCAGCCTTTGCACTGAAGTGGTATTTTCTACCGCGTACCTTTATGTATTTTGTATTTATTTATTTATTTTTGTTCTTTGGGTCACACCTGGTGATGCACAGGGGTTACTTCTGGTTCATGCACTGAGGAATTACTCCTGGCAGTGCTCAGGGCCCCATATGGGATGCTGGGAATCAAACCCAGGTAGGCCACATGCAAGGCAAGCGCCCTGCCTGCTGTGCTGTTGCTCTAGGCAATACCACTTGCCCTTAAATGGTTTTAATTCTATAGATTATTTCATATTCCAAAAGTGGTTGATCATTTAAGTGAAACTAATATGTGCATGTATAAGTTTCAAATGACCTGAGTAACTGTCTTCAAATGGTATACCAAGTTTTCTATGTATATGAGATTGACTTGGGGAGGGACTATTAGTTTTGAGCATAAGCTCAAAAAGGTAATTCACAACTCTAAGAATCTTGGGTTTTCCCTCTGCGGATTTTAATCTTCTTTACTCACCTAATGTTAAGGAATTACTAGCCTTCTGAAAGCATTCCAATTGGAGATTTACACCACTTTAACATTTTGGTGTCTTACCAATATTTTATAATCATGCATCTGAAATCCTTCAAAAAGTATTTCTCAATAGTTAAAAGGACCCCTGCAAAAAGAGTAGTTTCTCACTTCACTGTCTGTACTATGTTCATACTTACAGGCACAATTATTCTGGGGTGAGGGACAGTGGTGTTCAGAGCTGACTCCTGGCTCTGTACTCAGAATCACTCTGGGCAGGGCTGAGGGGACCATATGTGGTGCCAGGATCGGATCTAGGTGAATCATGTGCGAGACATGTCCTTTACCCACTGTGTATTGCTCCAGCCCTGTTTATAGATACAATTTACATTAAACCCACTCTTTCAAAGGTAACAAAAGTCAGCGAAATAGCTGTTAGGAAAATATAGACAGTGACTAGATATAAAAATGAAAGCAAGGGAGATTTCAATTACAAATAACAATCCAATTATAGCCAGAGATTAGTTAGAACGGTCTATATGCCCAATTAGAATTATCAAAATATCAGAAACACTTAGATTCTATATGTTGTCTGCAAGGTAGCGACTTTATTTTTTTGTTTGTTTCTTTGTTTGTTTTTGTGCTATACCTGGTGGTGCTCAAGATTTACTCATGGATGTGCTGGAGAGATAGCACAGCGGGTAGGGCATTTGCCTTGCACGCAGCTGACCCGGGTTCGATTCCCAGCATCCCAAGTTCAGTCCCCTGAGCACCGCCAGAAGTAACTCCCGAGTGCACAGCCAGGTGTAACCTCTGTGCATCACCAGGTGTGACCCAAAAAGCAAAAAATTAAAAAAAATTTACTCCTGGCTCTGTAGGCTCAGGGATCACATCTGGCGGGTCCCTGAGGGACCATGTAAAGTGCCAGGGTTTGAACCTGGGTTAGTCGTGTAAAGGCAAGTTCCCTATGCTGTAATCTCTCTCCAGTCCCAAGATAACTACTTTATTTTTTTCTTATATTTATATATTGAGTCACTGTGGAAAAAGTTATAAAGCTTTCAAGATTAAGTCTCGGTCATACAATGATCAAACACTTTTCCCTTCACCAATACTTATTTTTCACCACCAATGTACCCCCCTCCCAACCCTCCCAGTGCCTGTGAGGCAGATGATTTCTACTTAATTCTCTTGCCACTTTGATTACATTCATTATTTCGACAAAAGATGCACCATTATTGTTTAGAATTTCCCCCCAACAATCAGAATTGCTGAAAAGCATTGTGAAAAATTTGTTTTCTATAGCTGGTTATGAAAACTGTATCATGTCACGGCCCAGCAATTTTGGATTTCTGATATTTTACTAGGTAAGTGCAGGGATTTCTGCAAAGAACCAGATAATTACAAGATCAGTTTCTGTGCTTCTGATGTTATGGCCGTACTGGAGAGCGACTCGGGAAGCAACTCGTGACCTCGGTAGGGCGTGAAGGACGAGCCGGTACCGTCCCCCTTCCCATGAGAATGCAGTTGCCCCATCACCGTCGGCTCATACCTGGCTTTCCAATAAGCTCTGAGGCGGCAGCCACCTTGCTGCCCGGTGGGAAGAAGACAAAAGGGAGCAACATCCTTTCCCTCCCAGGAGGCATGGCCGCTGTAGTTTAACGCATGGTCCATTCACTTTTCTGCCGCAAGCTGCCGGGCTCTTTTGCCTCTGGAGCCATGGTGTGCCAGAGAGCCGCTTGTGGGGGGCAATTCATGACCTCAGTAGGACGTGAAGCCCAAGATAACTAAATATAATACAACCTATACCATGTCATGTCATGTACCACATAATGACAGACCACATGTATAATGTTGGTGCCCAAATTTCTATTTCTTAGTGATAACATTGCATCCATTGCCAGTGTAATGTAGGAGTAGTGAGAAGTCATGGATGATGTCGTTCCCCTTCCAAGGTGCCCTCCTGTCAGGCCAGTGGAATAAAAAAGTACTGTTTGGAGAAGAGTAGACACTAATTTGCACACTGATGAATCGCTGAAAAAGGTATTCTCAGGACATATACCCATCATTAATGACTTATGACTGTGAGTCCAAAAGTAAATATGAATAAAAGCATACTAATCTGGGGGACTAGGAGAGAGTTTCAAAGATGAAGCACTTCCCTTATATGTAGGATTGTGCTAGTTCAAGCCTTCTCTTGTGCACACCCAGTGGTCACTCAAGAACAAAGCAGGACTGGTCTCTGAGCTTTGCTAGGTGTGGCTCAACAAAGCAAAGATG